AGTTATCCCCAAAAGCTAAGTGAAGGTTGTATCATCCCGTCTGAATTCCAGTAGTTAGCCTCCCAAATCAGCTTGTATCTTGCAAAGGCATTTTGCTTTCCTCAAGGTATCTCCGTCTCGTTGCCTCGGCAGGTGTTCAAAAACGGGATCTTCCAGCTCTGGCACTCAGATTTTTGGGTCCAACCTTAAACCTCTACCTGGATGCTGAAGAACCTACCCTTTTTTCGGGGTTCCTTATTCTGATTTCTTTATATTCGTCCTTAAAAAGTAGGTCATTCAGGGTGTGTTTTAGTTTGACGGCTCCTGGCTGAAATTGGGACCTTTTGAGGTCGATCATCTAAGCCCACCCCTCCCTAGGCTAAGCATCGGATGTGCCCTGGGTTTTGAGGATTTCGGCCCCAGTCTTGCTTGGAGGTTAATGGCTAGTTATAAGTGGGGTTATAAGTCCCCTAATAGGAGTTCTAGTTATAGTTACCCTAATTAATTATAACCCCACTTATAACTACCCATGAACCTCCAAGTGTGATTTCGGGTGAGGGCTTTTGATAGGCGGAGTGAGCTTGGCAGCCGAAGATAAGTTCCAATTGGACTGTGTCGCGCTGTCCTTGTCAGCTGACTGAGAACCTTGCACAAGACCTGTGCAGGCAAGAAAACTGGTCTGTACCATGTACATGGGCCCAGACTGCCAACTATGCGGCAGTGAACCGGAAATCCAAGATTGCATGCAACCACAAACGATGCAATGTGAATACGCGTGGCTCAGGCGCCGACTAAAGTGTCATGAGCAGTCTCTTGGCTCTGGCGTTTTCCTGCCCAGCGGCGGCGGGGCTCCGTTGGAACCTCGATATCTACACGAGGCACTCCGGCGGACTTTCCTTTCCCCTTCCCCTTGCTGCCCTTCTGTGGGCTGTCCACGTAGCATGCTCGAGCCATGGTAACGCCGTGGCCAAGACGACCGTTTGAAGGGCAACTTGCGAACTTCATCCCGTTGTCATTCACGACCCTGCACCTGATCCGCCCATCCGGCCCAGGGCCCAGGACGGTATATGCGTACTGAAAGCAACCAGGGTTCATGTTGAACTTGTCCTCCTCTGGATCAATGCGCTTGGCATGGCATCGTTGGAAGAGATCTGGCTTTTCTTGCTGCAGCCGGCGGTGGTCCTGAATCTTCACATGTACAAAATCAAAAGGACAAGGATTCTGATCGCCCCTGCCCTCAGGAGCCGAAGATCTTCAGGACGCCCATGCACCAAGCCCGGGCACTCCCAAAGCGAAGGAGGCAGTCGCCTGGGGCCATGCGCACTTTCAGCCATTGTCGGTCCGACTTGTCGTACTTGAAACCTCGTCGTAAGCTGTACCGCACAGGGTGCCTTTGATCACCCTTCCTCCGAGATTCTCATAGCTGACGGAAACGAACTCTGGCTGAAACTGTAGCTTGTGAGTGGCTGAACAACGAGGTGCTGCTTGCTGCATTCCTTTCAGCATCTCCTGACATGCTTTCGTCTGGCTCAGTGGCAGGTGGTGGCGGCCGTGAAAGCCCATGTCATCCAGTAGCATCTCTTCCTCAGTTTGGACATGCCATGTCCGACCATGACAACTTTCAACCGTGTACTCCCCTTTCGACCCTTGCTCCTTCCATTTGGCTCTCTCCTCTTGTGTCATGAGGCCACCACACTCCCCCTCGCATCCCTCGCCGAACACACTTCGGAAGAGTAGGTCCTGTGATTCGTGGCTCAGACCCCGGAAACACAGGAGTTCAGTATCCAACTCCTCACATGCGCGAAATGCCATTGCGGTCATGCCGGCGGCGGAGGAGGCCAAGAGGAGATCTAAGACCCTGGGCTTCGGCTCACAATCCATATTACAGATTACATCTCCTGTAATATGTATATATATATATATAGCTATCATCTATATAGATAAATACAAACAAATAAATATGCATATACTTATATATATATATATATATATACTTATATATATATATATATGTCATATATAAGGTAATATGCAGTATAGTTCCCGGACCCTTGCTAATGCTGACATCACACTGCTGTGGTTCGTGATACTTGGCCAGCAATGTCAAGGCTCGAAGCCGAAAACTGAAGCAACAAGTACCATAGCCCCGAAACCTAAAACAAATATGGACGTGTCACAGCATTGGGATAAAGGCTCTTTCTCATGTGGGTGGTTGTCAAAAGTATGGTCCCCTTCTGGGTACCCTGAATATGAAATATTAGGTGCCGTATTATAAGAAGGACCCAAAAAGGGACCCTAATTTTGACAACTGTCCATGTGAAGGGCAGGGGTCAGGTGGTTGCGGGGAAGGGCTGAAACACTAGTTGAAAGGCAGCTGCTCCTAGGGAAGTAGTGGCAGCTAGAGTAGGTCCGCATATGCCGCAATTCTTTCCTACGGCATGACGACGACCCGGCTAAAGCTCCAACAGCTTCAGATCACCGTCGCAAGTGCACGCCTAAGGTCCGTTTTCTTCGTCCAGGTCCATATTCAAACAATCGTGACTGAGCCGCACGCCCGCGCGAAATTCCCGGCGCTCAAGCGGATAGCCATGCCAGCCAGCACCTCCCCCAATTGCTTTCGGACGGATTTGAGCTCGCAGATGCAGCATTTCTTGGCAGAAAGGTTCTTAGCTATTTGGAATCGAGATCCTGAGGGTTTGGGGCTGAGGCTGGAGCCTCATGCAGAACACGGACGCCTTATGCAGTGCTGAAGCAAGAGTTGTTGCCGGTGCCATTAGACTGTTTGGATTTGGGGAACAGGGGTAAGGAAACCCGTGGTAGGAGCATGTAAATGGGTAGTTCACTAAATTAGCACCCCTTTTAAACTTCTAACATTCGGGACCGCAACAGGGCCAGTCTGTGGAGAACGACCTGGATCTCTTGGGTTTTTGAAGTGTAGCACCTACTGTCTCGATGGGACAGCTGTAGGGTTGGGGTGTCGCAGAAGACTCTGAATCCTAAATCCCTAAACCCTAAACCCAAGCCTCAACCCTAAACCGCAGAAAAGGCTGAGTCGAAGCAGATCATCGGCGCTCGAGGTTGGAAGTAACCGGTACAGTAATATCGGGACCTTAATGATTAGAATAGGGTTGTTGGGGCCCATGATACCATGATTATAATAAGGAGCCCCGGTAATAGTATGGGTAATTATGTAGGCCGTAGGCCCCCATATTATGGGGATCTAAAGCTTTTTGAGGGCCTGGGGGGTTCGTTTAGGGCTGGTTTCGAGGATTCAGGCCTTGGCATCGGCGGCAGAAGCAAAAAAAGCATCAACCCCTAACTTTTTTTACGGCAGCAAGACTGAACTAAATCCTAAAAACGGACACCCCAGAACCCCAAACCCTAAACCCCTAAACCCCCGAACCCTACTCCGGAAGCTCCAATGAAAACCACCAGGCCATGCGCCCTAAAGCCCCGACTCTGCGCACTTCGCAGCCAAAGACACGAAACAAGTTGGAACATTGCTTTTGGCGTTTAGGGCTTTAGGGGTTCTGGGTTTGGGCGTTCAGGGGTTTAGCGTTGGGTTGAGGGTTTAGCCCCAAGACTTCCCAACTGATAGGCTCAGGGTCTACGCTTCAAGGATTCAGGGATGTTGCACCGCCCAAGATTGTTGAGTTTAGGGCGTCCAGAGTAGAAAGTTCCGGAGTGTTGGAGTTTAGGGCTCAGGATCTTAGGTTTGGCTCTTCCTTTGGCCGCAGCTTTACGTAAGGCTTAGGGAACACGCTCTTCTCCAACGGCCTCCGTCACCAGTTAGGCAGACTCCTGAGGCAAATCCCACTGTTGCCACTGTCAATATAGGGGCCTTAACAATTTCAATAGGGTTTTGGTGCCCATTATACTATAATTATAATACCCCCAAGATAGTATTGGTAATTATTGAGGCACCTATATTAGCTTTCCAGACGGAAGCCCAGAACACCGAAAACCTGACGCTTTGTAGGCAAGCTTTGGAAGTTACAATAAACCCAAAACCCCTTAATCGGAAACGCCCAAACGCTGCATTGCAAGATTCATGGGGCTTATTTAGGTTTTGTGGTTGGGAACCGTTTGTCGATTTTGCAGCAAGGAGGCGTCGAAGCATCTTCGCTGGAGGGTGACATTTTTAGGGCCAAGGGCTCATATCTAATTGAAGAGTGCTACGGCTACGGGTTGTTATGTGGTTTGTTGGCTTCGAAGGATGTCGAGAAATGCCTATCCATAACCCCTGATCTCGAGGGCCTGAACCGAAAGTGAACCCACACGCGCTCCAGCGTCTACTTGTCGACTGGAAGGGCCCGAATAGTCAGAATAGCGTTTTGGAGTATAACAAGCATTGTTTCCAGGCTGCGCTACTGCAAGGCTTCCTCTAAAGCGTGTTAACCAGGAGGATATAAACACCCAAGCTGCGCTGACCCGACCATCACGAACTCTCACCTACTACTGCCTAGAACTGTGTTGTGATCCACCCAGTAGGAGGCATCATTCTCCTACAGCAAGACCTCCGAAAGCCAGAACCCCACAAAAGCTCCCACTGCAGAGCCTAAAGCGCCTACAAAATCTCCAGCCGAAGGGTCTTCAATCGGCCCACCATCTGGCCCAAGGAGTAGCGATAGGTCAGGGCGTTCCCTGAGGATGAGGGCTTCGAAAACACCGGTCAAAGGGGAAAAGGAGGCTTATTGGGGACCCTACCGTATTATGGGCTATATCATGGGTATATAGTAGCTATATTAAGGGTACATACCTAGGGGTCCTTATTAAGGGTCCCTCCTTTTACCCTTGAAACCGGGTTGCGGGTAAGGGCAGGTTTTGTAGTTTTCAGCTGGGATGCTTCGACTTTCAACACGGAGTCATGCATTTTGCTTCGGTATATGCAGGCATCTGATACCCGAACTCTCAAGAATTGAGAAACCCCAAACGATAACCGCCAGCACCAAAAAGTCTGAGAGGCTTCGACCGCCTTAAACCCTAAAGCCCCGAACTCCCAAAACCCTAACGCATTTCAACTCCCCGAAAACTCGGAACCCCTAAACCCCAAAACACTTGACCCATACGCCCTGGTAAACCCTGAAACGAACTCATAACGAAGCCGCAAAATCTTAAACCTAAAACACAAGTCCTCCAACTCTACACAAACCCTTGCGACCTAAACGCTACCTTGACCCCGCCCAAAAGTAAATAAAATGATGGCGGACAACCTATAAACGGCTATTATTCTACATACTCTTGCGGTCCGGGTAAAGCCCAAACCCTCAACCATAAAACCCCGAAAACCCTACACCCTAAACTCTGAAACCCTAAACCCTATATAACGCCCGAACCCAGAGAGCCCAATACCCCTCAATTAAGGAATAAAGCTTAAATCATATACTGCTTCATATTCTGATTTAAGCTATATTCCTTAATTAAGGGGTATTGGGCTCTCTGGGAACCAAAGCGGCCAGGCTGCGCTTGACTTGGCTATGAATCTCGCGCCACTCCTTGGAGCGCGCCTGGAGAGGGTGCATCGCAGCTCCGGTCGATTGGGTCGAAAACCCCTAAACCCCTATGTAAAGTCGTAAGCCCTGTCAACCTGAATTCCGAAACTCTCAAGCCGTAAACCCTCTAAGAGAAAAGGCTTCACTTATCAGTTTCTTTCAAGCCAGCTTCAACTTCAACAATTCTCAACCGACCCTACCCCCTTAAACCCTACACCCTAAACCCTTAAACCCTAAACCCTAGCCTGAACCAGGCCCTGAACTTGCAAGGCTTCCTCCTCAACAGACCCCGACTCTCCACGACAAAGAACAATGTAAGGGCCTGAATACCTAAAACGATGTCTTGGGTTATGTTATAAACAACCTTAAACCCTAAAGAACAGCACCCCGCATCAAGCCCGAAACCCTAAAGGCTGGCCCCCAATCGGCTAGGTGAAGGAACCATGCGGAATTAGTATGACTGGTGGTTCAGGCCCTGTTACAGGTTTTGTCGATGACTACTTCATGGTTCGTGCACCGCTTTGCCAAACGGGGCTTATTATTCCGGGTTACCACCATCACTTTCTAAATCCTAAGCCCATTGACCTAAAGTTTGGGATTGCCACTTTTTGAAACAGGCTTTGGGGTATAGATATTTTTCGGTAAGCCAGAACTTCCCACGGCCGTTTTCTACTCCAAGCACCTCGCAGGCCGGAATCAAGTCGGACTTGTCAATAGGGTTGGACGCATTCTGCACCAATCTGTAGCCTGGGGGTTTGCCGCAGATGCAAACTGCCAAATCCCCAATCCCCAAGCAACTATAACCTACACTGCAACCTGAGAAGACCCGACTCACTAACCCAAAATCCCTTGCTCACTTCAAGCGTAGGCTGCCGGATCATAGCAATTGGAAGAGGATCAGAAAACAAGCAAGATCAACAAGAACACAAGGAAATACAAAGTCCTGGAATCAGAGTGATCACGGGGATCAGCGGGCGGGCGTTCGTGCGTGCGGGAGTGTGTGCGTGCTTGGGTGGGGTGGGCGGGTGGGTGCGTGCGTGTGTACGTAAGTACCTGTGCGTACTGTGGTCTTACTAGTACAATTGGTACGATTGTTACAAAAGTACTACTATAAAACACAGCAATAACAATAATGACGAAGAGCCATGCTAGCTTTTACTTTTTTTTACTGATTATTTGTATTCCTAATTTGGTGATTTATTCTTGATCATTCCTCAGGTTTTTTGGACCCTTACCACCAAAACCCCAGCCTCAGAGACAAAACCTCGAACCAAAACAATGGATCCTTCATAACCAGAATAGGGTTTCTAAGGTATGCTCGAGTCTTGCAATAATAAACCCTCAGGAATAGTCTTGGTAACGATTCAGGCTTCTACATTACCTGCTTGGAGCTCCTTGAAGTCCTAAGACTCTGTTGGGTTTTGAGCGCATGTGCGTGGAGCTCTTAAGGCTCTAGGCTCTGGGTGTTTGTTTTTTTGGTATCACATCAAACGAAGCTGCCACACAAAACCCTACACCACCCCGAACCATGGCAACCCTACATACCCCAGAACCCTAAACGGTCCAAGAGGCAGTGATTTTCCTGCGCAGGCATGGTGGGGTCCGCCGAGACACTGTGGTTTGGGGGCTTCGAGGTCTGATTTATAAGGGGGCCTTAATAATTGGGGGCATATTTTACTATAATTAAATAAGGAACCCCCAAAATAGTATTGGTAACTACTGAGGCCCCTGTAGTAATCAATGTCTCTGCTGTCCTGACCACGAACAACGGGTTTAAGTTGGGTTTTGGATTTGGTATTTATTGAGGGTTGTGCGGGCAGGGTTCAGGATTTTGAAATATGTAGTCGCTGAAGAAGGAGGCGGAGGAATACCAACAGTGACAGCAGCAGGACTACTGAGAGTAGTCGCAGTAGCAGCAGCAGGAGGCGGATCACATGATCTCATGTTTGTAAAGCAGCTGCAGACGTTGCAGAAGGCTGGAGTCTATGTCGATGACCATTAGCCTGCGGCCATAATACAGTAATATAGGGGCCTTAATATTTAGACTAGGGTTCTGGGGTATATTATACTCTAGTTCTAATAAGGAAACATCAAAATAGTATTGGTAATTACTAAGGCCCCTCTAGTATAGAAGAACTTTACTGTAAATCCCGTATAGACCCCTTTAAGGAACCCTTTAAAGGCATCCCCCCAAATAGTATAGGTATTTATTTAGGCACCTATGGTAAACAAAGGTCGCCAATACTTTCCAGTGATGCCCTGACGGTTCGATGACCCAGGGGGCTTCACTGAGAGTTGCGCTGTTGATGAACCCTAAACCCTAAAATCAAAACCCTAAACCCTAAAACCTAAACCCTGAAATTAAGCTCTAAAACCTAAAACCCCTAACCCTGGAAAACCGGAGCGAATCGCAGAAGAGGGCGCACTGGCCAAGGCTCCAGTCGCAAGTTTTAGGCGTTTTCTCCACTCTTTGGAAACTTGGCCCCGGTTTGCTGAACTCGGTTGGCCCTTTAAAGCCTCCGAAACATATTCGTAAATAGGGTCCGATTAAGCCCAATAAGGGAAAATGCAGAATGTCCCAAAGGCCTACCTAGTGAAGGACCCATACAAACAAACATCACTTGACGTACGGTTGATGATATAAATCCTGCATTACCCATCATAAGGAATATACCATAATTCCCATAGTTAAGGGCCCTTAAGGTAATGCAGGATTTACATCATCAACCTTAGTTTCGTCTTGTTCCGATTCTGAGAGACATTCCAAGCCCTGAGACCCAAACTGTAGACCCCACACTGCCTCGGTTCTGGGGGTTAGAGGCCTGCAGGCGCGCGAAACTTTCAAAGCGAATCCTGGTACCGTCCACACCTTGATCCAATTTCTGAAAATATTAAAACTAGAATCGCTACCAGAAGCAGTCGGAACCTAAACCTGAACCTAAACGCTTCAACCCTGAAGCACTAAATCCTAAAACCTAGACCACAATCCCTAAAATCCTGACCCTAAACCTAAAATCCTGAACTCGAAGAAACCTGAAGCGGGGTCCTTGCACTGGCAGTACCGCTCCTCATCGTCCCCGAGGCACTCGGTGTTCTCCAACTGAGTGGTTCTGAACTCAATAGTAAGTAGTAACCTGCCTAATCATAAAAACGGTCGTTGCCTACAGCTAGCTTCGTGACTGTCATTGCTGCCGGTTACAAGACAAACACCCTCGCTATGGCTATGGAGGAATCTGAAGGTGTGCCTGTCAGCAGGAGGGGAACGCATAAGATTTTCTGCTGGAAGGCATTTCGAGTTCAGGGTTGAGGTTACCATCCAAGCCCACATAAAAGTTTCCGAAAATTAGGGGTACCTTATTTTGGGGTCCTTATGCTAAGGAACCTCTTATTTTGGGTACTATATAAAGCTCCCTCATTTTCGGAAACTCCCATTTCGAGTTCAGGGTTGAGGTTACCATCCAAGCCCACTTGGCTAGGCGGGATTAGCTTGAGGGGCAACCCACACGACGATTCCCCATGTGATCAAAGTCCCAAGCAAAGCAGGTGCAGGGATGTGTCCCGCACCAATGCCTTCAACGCTCAGTGCGGAAACCAGAAATATACAAATGTTGACCTCACATCGTAACGGCCGAGGACTGAGGGCTTTAGCGAGATCGGTGAGTTTGAAGCATGGACTCGTGATCTACTCTGTAAGCAGAATCACTCTTGATGTCATGACGTAGCAATATGCGATAGACGGTATCTTTAACTCGACTCCTGTAAACCCTAAACACGCCCTGCAAACAGCCTTATGGCACTTTGATAGACCATGCCAGAACCCGCAAAAACGGAACATGCCTACTTATGATAGGGGCCCCGGTTTGAAGTCTGAAGTCCGACTGCGGATCCCTGGTACAAAACTACTTGTGCTCTTGAAGCTTCCGAAAATGCAGGGTACCTTATTTTCGGGGTCTTTGTAATGAGGATCCTACTATTTAGAGTGCTTTCTTAGAGTCCCCTATCTTCGGGAACTAAGGTTTAAGGGGTTGAAGGTTGAGGGTTTAAGGGTTTAGGGGTTTAGGGTTTAGGGACCTGATTAAGAAACCTTGGCCTTCATGAGGGTTCTTAATATGAATCCTAATACATTGGGGGTTGTAGGGCCGGGGTTTCTTATCAGGTTCCTACCCAGAGAACCCAATACCCCTTAATTAAGGAATATACCTTAAATTTATAGGGGCCTTACTATTGTGATTTTAAAGTATATTCCTTAATTAAGGGGTATTGGGCTCTCTGGGTACCCTCTATTCCCCTTCAATACCCCTTATAGTAATCCTTACAGGTCCTTTATGAGGAACTCTTTAAAGGAACCCTAAGGCTGTTTGAGAATCCCATGACAGGTTCCTCATTAGGGCTCCTGGGGCGCCAGCCCAGCAGTCGAGGTTGCTTGTGCAAGTGCCGAAGGGGTCGGTGGAGCTGGCTTTGTCAGCGGCACCTTGCAGCTGAGGGTTTGGGCTTTTGGGGTTTAGGGCTTTGAGGGTTTAGGGCTTTTAGGGTTTGGGGTTTCTGGTTTGGCGCTGCTTCGGCTTTAGGGTTTACTTGGGGTTTAAGTGGCTTTGGCGTACGGAATGCTCCGAATATATAGCTGCCTGACAGTGTACCCCAAAACTGAGAGACACACTTCTTGTATCCATACAGTTCCCTGCAAAGACCTCGTGAAAGAACCCTAAGGCCTACATTCTTCATGCTCGAAAAGAACGTGCAAAGGTTGACCAGTGGATGAAACTGCTAAAGGTTTAATATAGGGGCCTTAAGAATTAGGGTTCAGGGCCCATGATACTATACTTGTAATGAACTCCCCCCAAAATATTATTATGAGTAATTATTAAGGCCCCTACAGTGGGGTCCTTAAGCTCCCAAGAGCGAGCCAGAGGCTTCGCGATGCTGTACCTGTCTAGAAACACAATGATCAAAAGGGAAAAGGAAGGACCCTTAATGGGTTCCTACTCTATAAATATGGAATGGGTATACAATAGCTATATTAAGCCTATATACCTAGGGGTCCTTCTTCAGGGTGCCTCCTTTTACCCTTGGAAATGAGTAGAGCTGGTGATTCCTGAGGCACTACTTGGAGGTTCATGGGTAATCATAAGTGGGGTAATTTCTAGGGTAGCTAGACTTATAACTCCTATTACGGGACTTATAGCCCCACTTATAACTACCCAGGAACCGCCAAGTAGTGCGAGCTCATGAAACCCTTCGACCCTAAACCCTTAAGGACGTCCTTAAGGGAGCCAGTGAAGGAATCCTAAAGCTGAAGCTCCAAGTGACAGCCCTCAAAGCCCTCAAACTCCACCTCCACGCTCAAAGCTTCTTGAACCATGAAGACGTTATGCAGGGCTCTCTTCGAGGGGTTTTATGGCTTCGTAAATAGAGGTGCATTATGAAGGGCCTGTTCAGGGTTGCTTCGCCTCAGCCAGAGAGCCCGTTCTGCCTCAATGAAACAATACACCGAGAAACCCCTTCTAAACCCTAAGCCAGAAATCAATTCAGGCCACATCTCTTGATTTCTGGGCGTACTTTGGGCTCTCTGTTCCCCGGAAAAGCTGTAAAGAATCCCTGGCAGGAACCTCGCAAAAAAGCCGTGCAGTCACCTTCATAGTAGCTCGTATCGGAACCTAGTACCCCAAACTTTAGCAGAGCCCTTACTTAACGAAATGCCAAACCAAACGCTCTGTAAACCCTGAACCCCAAACCCAACCCTGAACCCCTAGGCCTGCCCCCTACAGCCCTCACCCCTAAACCCTAAACCCAAAGTCCTCAACCCTAAACGCAAAACCCAACCCTTAAAGCGAACCCTGATGGAACCCTTAAGAGAGCCCTCTTAAAGGAATCCCCTATGGAACCCTTACAGGATCTAAACCCTAAGCCCTAAACCCGCCTTTAAGAGAAACCCCAAAGCCCCAAACGCTGCGGTCTGTCTCTTGCCGCCTCCCCCGGCTGCCACGAGGATCTTCAGTGCCAGCGCTTCGAGATCGTAGGGCTGAGCGACTGTAAGGTTCTGGGTTTAGGGTTAGGGCTATGTTTTGAGGCTGTTCTGAATTCCTCCAAGGCTTTCTTTTGAGGTTGCAGGGTGCCGTTAAGGCTTTCATCTTAAGGTTTTAGGGTTCCTTTCCAAACCATCTTAAAGGTTTCAGGGCTCCTTGAAAGCTTCAGGGGCGCTTTCAAGAACTCTATTGAGAGTTCTTCGACCGGTTCTGGGCCCTACAAGGGGTTCTGAATGGGGTTCCTTTTGAGGGTTCCTTCCAGGGGCTCTATGAAGGCATTTGGTATTCAAGGTGGTGGAATCATTGTGAGCCGTGTCATCTTGGTATAACGGCACAAAGCGCTACTTTCGCGAAGGAACACAGCGGGGACAAAGGCCGACGATGTGAGCAATGCGGTCACCTGAACAATGTTGCAAGTCATATGCCGTGTTCGTCAGCGTATATGTCATAGCGATGACCGGAGAATCCATCATGTCAACACATCTCGGTTGCTCAGAACTGTGTTTCAAAGCAGGATTGCTTCAAGTCATCCTAGCTGGATGGAGGCATATGTCTCTGCACGTACTGCTGCACCCAGGACCAAGACGATACTGCCGCCATGATGAAAATGGCGTCTTCGAAAGTGACTGTGATCGTGATGGTGGTGGTGACTTTGATGCAAATGTTGTTGTTGCTACTGATGATGGATGTGCATGTCCGTCCGTCTTCTTCTCTGAGAGGGGGTACCAGGTGACGTCATGGCAGCTCACTGCGTTTCTCACTGTGATGATTGGGCAAGGTACTGAAGACCCTAGCAAGCCCGAAACCCTGAACCCCGAGTTAAATTCCAAACATCCCCAAACCCACCCCAAATCCTAAACCCTAAACCCCCGAAGCCAAAACGCCTACACCCCCACTAAACCCTAAACCCCAAAGCCCCGCTACACCCGCCCTAAAGCTTAAACCCCAAGCCCCTTCCCCCCTACACCCATAGAAGCGCAAGCTGCAGTGGAGCACTTCCGGATGCAGACCTGCATCTATAGGGGTACTATAAGGGTCTAGGGTTTAGGGTCTACTTAAAGGATCATGGGACCTGGTATCCTTAACGGGGCTGGGAATTTAGGGGTTTTCCGGCCTTCCGGTGTAGGGATTAGGTTGAGGAGGTCTTTGGGTGGGTGCTATGTTAGGTCCCTTTCGAATTCCCCCAAATTCTACGGCATCCTTATGAAACGGACCCCAGTTTAGAGAACTGTCTATGAGCATACCCAGAGACTCCAATATCCCTTAATTAAGGAATCTTCCTTAAATTATAGTAGGATCCCTTTCATGATTTGAGGAATATTCCTTAATTAAGGGATATTGGAGTCTCTGGGTAAGGAGCATAAGGGTTCCCCTAAACCCTAAACCCTAAACCCTAAACCCTGAACCCTGAACCCTAAACCCTAAACCCTAAACCCTGAACCCTAAACCCTAAACCCTAAACCCTGAACCCTGAACCCTAAACCCTAAACCTGTTTTAGGGTTTTGGAGGTTCAAGGAGCCTTAGGGTGCAGGGATGTTTTGGGGGAGTTTGGGGGTTCAGGGTCTAGAGGGGCTTCGGGGTATAGGGTGTAGCTGAAAGGGGCTTCGGGGTATAGGGTGTAGCTGAAAGGGGCTTCGGGGTATAGGGTGTAGCTGATAAGTTCATATGATTTTGCTGGTTTTTGGTTTTAGGGGCACATCAGTCCCTTAGAGGGTTGGGGCTGCAGGGTTTAGGGTAATATAGGGGCCTTAATCATTAGCATAGGGTTCCTTTATAAAGGGCTCTATAAGGGCTACTGTAAGGGCTATAATAAGGATTGAGTATAGCCCCTATATTACAGGGTTGAGGTTTAGGGCCAAGGCTTTTGGGTTGTCCGGTTCAGGGTGGCAGGGTTCTGCTCCGTGCGTGCGTCCTGCGCACGAACAAACACACTCTAGGGTTTGAGGGCGGGTGTCTGGCGGCTGGGAGTAACATCGCGATGAGGCCCAGAACCCCTAAACCCTAAACCTTAGAAGGGGCCCTAATCGTGGTATAGTAGGAATATAATAGGGCCCTAATAGTCACTATTACAGGGTGGGGGCAGCTTCTAACCTAAACCCTATATCCTTAGCTCAAGACCGTAAAGTCTCGACACCGCGAGAGGGCTTCGGAGCTCAAGTCACTACATCCTTCAAAATGGCGGAAGCCCGGGAAGAAACCCCTTTGGGTAGGTACTGCCCCCTTACAGTAAGAGTCTATAATAGGGCTACTATTGAGGTCCTAATAGAGCTATATTATGAAAATTATTCAACTATTACTGAGTGGGGGCCGTACCCGACTTTTTGGTCAGTTGAAAAGCAAAAATCACAACTTTGTGAAACATGTCAGAGTAACTATGCGGCAATTGTCTGTCATCCGGATAGTGGCCCCGGGTCAAAATTGAAATCTGGTTTGCAAAACATAACAACGTTACTAATATGGGAGTTTCAGAAAATGGGGGGTACCTTGTTTGGGGTCCTTATAAAGGGGATCCTACTATTTAGGGTTCTATATTAGGGTTCCCTATTTTCGGAAACACCCATATCGTGGCCAAGTCCTGTCAATGCTGTCGGCGGCCTTGAAGCTGAACCCTTTCAAGCCTCTAAAGCCAGAACTCGAACCTCAAACCCTAAACCCGAAAACCCTAAAGCCCAAGTTCTGAACCCTAAACCCTAAAACCCTTTCAAGTCTCTGGAGCCAAAACTCGAATCCCAAACCCTAAAACCCTAAAGCCCCAAGTCCTAGACCCTAAACCCTAAAGCCCAAAAAACCCTGCCAATTTCAACAAGAAGCGAGAGCAGTCGACTTCCTCTTGCAGACCAAGCCCTTGCTCTCGCAAAGCTTGAGCATGGAGTCTTGATCGATGTTACTGGGCGACCGCGGCGGGGTTTAGATTTTTTTTGAGATCCTTTTTGGGTTTAAGGTTTAGGGGCTCAAGTGCTTATTTTTGGGTTTAGGGTTCAGGGTTTAGGGCTCAGTTGCTTGTTTTTGGGTTCTGCGGTATATATGATACTTGAATCGTATAGGACTTTACAGACGTGGTATACATCTACAGAGCATATTATGGTGATCATGGGTTAACAATGTGGGACTGTAGAAGCTTCAAAGGAATGTCCGAATGTTTTTGCAAACGATGATGGAAGTATGTGGGGGTTATATAGCCTATAAGGGAATATGGGAGTTTCCGAAAAGAGGGGACCCCATCACAGTACCCTAGATAGTAGGATCCTTTTATAAGGACCCCAAAATCAGGTACCTCTAATTTTGAAACTCCCAGAATTTTACTATCGAAGGCCTTCCGGTTTTGGGCCAGGGGCCAATCTTCGGACACAAGAGGACACAAGAGCTCGGGTTGGGATTGAGGGGCGGATGCTGCCGTCTGACCCTAAGGCACTACGGGTGCACGTGCCCAAATAGGGATCCTTTAAGGGTTCCTTTAAGACTTCCTTTAAGGGTTCCTATATGGGTTCCATCATAGGGTTTAGGGTTTAAGGTTAAAGGGTCCCTGTACCCAAATAGTATATGGTGTGGCCTGAAAGTACTCCCTATATAGGTACATTGGGCCCAAAGTATATACTATTTGGGTACATTGCTGGACCCTTGGGATGACTCTTCAGCTGTAGACACGGGACTCCATGGTGACCCGATCATCTATTGGAGATGCCTTTGTCCAACGATCCCAAGTCTACAGGCCCCGAGCCCTAAGATAAAAATGCCTGAACCCTGAACACAGAAACGGGGAAACCTCGAACCGGAAGCCCAATATCAACTGCTGCCCGTCCTTCGAACACACAGCCAAGCAGGGCCGTAAGTTTGAGATTGCTTCTCCCAACCTGAAGCCTCTTCCCAAAACCCTCAACCCTAACCTGAAGCCTCTTCCCAACCTAAAGCGGAAGCCCAAGAAAGCAAGAATCTGAGACAGGCTCACGGAGCCCTAAGCACAGGGACCCTAAACCCCTCCACAGAAGAGCCTTTTTCGGCCGCTACTTGGAGGTTCATGGGTAGTTATAAATGGATTTTTCGGTCCCCTAGTAGGAGTTATAACTATAGTTACCCTACTTATAACCCCACTTAGAACTACCCATGAACCTCCAAGTATAACCAGGAAAAGCTACGACAAGACTCCCTGGTGCTTAGTCGGGAATTGGGGAAGGTATCCCAAAAGTAGTAGTCCCTATATAATCCCCAATAATCGTCCCCATAATCCATCCCCCCATGTTTTACTAAGCACCAGGGGGAAGACGAATCGGTGCAGAAGTCTGTGGGATGATAAGGAGGCCTGAGTAACTGGACTACGGTTCCAGGGTTCTGGTTTGGGGTATGGTATACTGAACCCTGAGTATCATGACATGAGGCCGATATGGGAATAAGTCACCCAAATTCGGACCCCTTACGTTAAGCTTCCCTGATCTTCCTATCGAGGTACAGTGCTCACCGTGGTTGAAGGCTACTTTGTCGTGCTGTTTCCATGGAAAGCTCCTGATCATAACCGAAACCCCATTCTCTGTCCAAGCCGGGTATCTTTATCATGATCCTCAGGACATTCAGCGACGACAAGCAGTCGTCGTGGCCACTTTTCGACGCTTGTTCGCAAATTTCTTTTTGCGCCTGTAAGGCACGACCTGCAGGGCCAAGGGGTTCAAAAAGTAGCCCCCAACATGCCTAAACATCAAGCCCCTGGTTTGGGGCATGTTCTTTTTCGAAGTGGAGTGTTCGCATAACTCTTTAACAGGCCGGAAAGGGGAAGTCCAGAAAAACATTAAAATTGAGATCCCTCTGTTTAGGTGATTCTTTGGCCCCCCTCTGAGCAGGCCAGGGGTTGCACTTCCAGGCGAATTTAAGGGTTTCAGATCTTTCCTTGGGGTTTGGCTCTAAGGATGTTCAGGGATCAAGGGTTGTTTAGGGGTTTAGGGTTTAAGGGTTTAGGGGTTTAAGTCTTTTGGGGCGTAGTTTTGAGGCCTCGGTTGATAGCTGCCTAGTGAGGCTCAGAGGTAGCCTAGAAGCTTGGGCAAGGTCTAAGCCTCTAACCCTAAATCCCTAAACGCTCCCTAGTTACTAAGCCCTGAACCCGAAACCCTAAATCCCTAAACGCTTAGAGCCCCGTGGCCGGAACCTGCTGGTGAAGTGGCGCGGACGTCATGGATCAAGTTGCCCATTTCCTGGCGGATTGCTCACGTTTGATAAAACCCTTGGTTTTGATTAGATTCATCGGTGAAATCCTAAATGTTCGGGGCTTCGGAACTATGGCTTGAACTCTGGACTTTGAGGTATAACACAGTATTACAAACCCCGCGAACCCGGATAAAAACTCATGAGAGCAGATAAAATCTTTCTGGCACGCTTAGCCGCTGCTCCCTAGTGTAATTGCGGAAGCCCCTAATGTAGGAACCTGATTAAGAAACCTTGGGCCTTTATCAGGGCTCCTTATATGCATCCTGCTATTTTGGGGTTATAGGCCCAGGGTTTCTTAATCAGGTTCCTAGCTTATGGACGTGCGGGCCTTGGGTTTCGGGGTAGACAGCTTAAGGTTAAGCATTTAAGGCTCAAAAACCTAAGCAGTCCTAAACGACCGCCTTCAACACCCACCAAAGATTTCCAAAAAGAGTTTATTACATTAGCCAAGAATCTGACGTAAGCCCTTCTTCATATCTTCTCGAAGAGAGGGGTTCCGCTCTAGTCGGGTAAAGGGCGCTTGAACTTCAGATGTTACACGGGGCATGCTTGCCTGTTGGGAAGGACAAGTGCCTAGGGTTGGAATCCAAGCATCGAGCAAGAAACCAACAAGCACGAACCCTAAACCCCAGAACTCAAATCACAGCAGTTTGGAAAAACGTGATTTAGGGCTCCGGATTTAGGAATCGCTTGGTACCACTTGTCCATTGGTATGGTGAAGCTTGCGCATTGGAGAGTAATCCGAAAATCGACGGAAATAGTGCCGAGGTAGACTGAAACCTGTTCGCTTTCAGAAACCCTTGGAGCCTGAAATACCCTCTACTTGGAAGGGCAGGGGACTTAGTACCCCAATTATAACCCTACTTATAAGCTACTTACTAAGTCCCCTGCCCTTCCAAGTACACGCACCTGGAAAATCCTCTGTAAACACCCTACGACGAAATCATTTGAGGGATCTCAGAAATCTCTGTAAACCCTACACCCCCAAACCCTAAACCACGTTCGTTGATCCGATATCCTCAAACCCCCATACCCGGATCCCTCAGCCCTAAACCGTTGAACCAAAGAGTCCTGCAAGGGATACCGACAAAGCACCCTTCAAGTGACAGCGTTGTTAAGGACATCCATGGCCTGTCCGAGGTAATCCAACATGCAAAACCCCAAATCTTGAAGAAACGCTGCGCCCTAAACCCTAAACCCCTTCCCGAACCTGGACGGAGAAGCCGCCCTTGCTCAGTTCATCGTAGTTTGTTAGCCGCTCCTCTCTGCCGGTGGAGGATATGGCACTAAACGGCTTCTGATGGGCAAAACCCTAAAGCCTAAACCTAAACCCTAAAGCTTACACCTAAACCCTAAAGCCTAAACCTAAACCCTAAAGCCTACACCTAAACCCTAAAGCCTAAACCCTAAAGCCTAAACCCTAAACCCTTCGGTTCAGAGTTCCGAACCAAGGCTTTGGGCTTCAGGGCCGAGGGTGAAGGCTTTAGGAAATCAGGGACGGCTAGAAAGCCTTAAAACTGAAACCCTACCGACAATGGTTCAGGGTTTGGGGCTTATTATGGGGGCCTTAATACTTAGAATAGGGTTTTGGGTATAGTATACACTATCACAATCATAAGGAGCCCCCCACAAAATGGCTATTTACGCCCCTATATTAGGGGTTTAGGAAGCTTGGGGTTGATAACGTCTCGGGAAGGAAGCCTCAAGCAATAACGCTCTTGCTTGGAACTGATAGGGCGAATATTTTGGTAGTAGTGTCCTGGTGAAGTACCTACATCAATTATACTATAGTGCACCCCCAAACCTCGTGTTAATGTTCAGACCACAGTACTTATTACTTGGCAGAGCAATACGTGTTTTTGCTTCCCGCCTCTCTACTGGTGCAGGGCAAGAAGCTACCAGGAGAAGACATGTGCCTAAACCTCAAACCCAAAACCCTAAATCCTGAACCCTCAACCCTGAACCCTAAACCCTAAAACCCTGAACCCTGAACCCTAAACCCTCACTGAACCCTGAACCCTCGGCCTGCAAGTTTCGGAGAATATGCGACCCTTGTATTGCAAGGATCCCTAAGCAGGGAGCCTTCATCATCTGACCCCCGCCAAGGAGCAACAGCTTCAAGCTTGCCCGAAACCGTAAACTCTAAGCCGGTTGAGGTTTTAGGGGTTTAAGGTTTAGGGTCTGGGGTAGCCCGAAAGCCGAAATCCCAGCCCCAACCCTCGAACTCTACACAGGCATTGTCTCAAGCAGAAGGCTAGAAATCATCTTCACCAGTCTACATAGCTTTATCAGATCTCGAAGCGAGACCAACATCACCATCCGGAAACCAAAACTCTGAACCGCAGCTCATGCTGGGTAACGGATCATGAAGCCAAAGCTGACGGTTTAGGACGTAAGGTTTGGGGCTGAGAACCGGAGAGATGCAGGAATCGTCTCGAATAGCTCATATAGACAGCATTTACCTTAAAGGGGCAAGCCGACAAGCAAACTAGCTATTAAACAAAAATTAAGGCACAAACTCAGACTAACCTAAGCTGACCTAAACCTTGCTTGATTTAATCTACCAACCAACCAACCCACTGTCTGACCGGCTGCCTGACTTACTACCTACCTAACTTGGCTAACTAAGCCTAACTAATAGACTTATGAATAGCTCAAGACATCTCCTCCAACGTAGCCCGGGTCTCTCCCGGTGCATGGCAGTTGATGTTCCTGGCAACTAGTAAGTGACTTACTACTGGCAACTGACGGCAGCGGCTGTGGTGCAAGGGGCGAGGGCTTGGGGCGCTGGGCTTAGGGGTTTAGGATTTACGGGGCTTCAGGACCTAAACCCTAAAACACATGCGGGGCTTAGGGTGTTAAGGCTCAGGGCTGTAGAGTTTGTAGGTTTGCGGCTTTTTGCAACATTAGCAGGCCGAAGAGCCAAGCCACTTTAGCTGCGGATATAGTTCATGTAGCGGCCTTAATAACTAGAATAGGGTTTTGAGGCTTCTTATATTATGATTGCAATAAGGAACCCCCACAACAGTATAGGTAATTATTTAGCCCCTTTATTTATACCACTTTGCTGACTCATGCTACCCTTGATCATGCCAACGACCATGACGATGATGATGGTGACAACGATGCGACTGCTGCCTGCTGATGATGGTGCAGCAGATGACGACGGTGAAGAGGACAGATTCGTGGTCCTACACCAGAAAGCCATGCAGTTTCGGCAGCAGTGTCATTGCCCTTGAACCCACGAGAGCACAAGTCCCGTGAGCTCCTTACCATTCTGTTCCGGTGGGGCCCAATCCCCAAAGCACGTTTGAGAAACCTAAGCCCTCATTTCCCAATCCTGAAAACTCCAAACTCGAACCACGACTTAACCCTGAACTAACCTAACCCCTAAACCCCTAAAGCCCTAAGCTGGCAACTGAAGCAGCAGCCAAGTTGCAATGCGTAGTTCTTGGAGTAGGTCTCACCTTTAGCGTTTTGGGGTTCCTTTACAGCGTCCTTTAAGGGCATTCCAAGATTTCCGGAAGGGTCTTATCGGGCTTAGGGTTTGGCGTACTAAGTTTGGGGCTTCAGGGGGGAGGGTTGAGGGATTTGCCACTGTGCGTATCACGCATCCCTAAGAGACAAAGTCGCGGAACCAGTCCTTGAATACCCGACACCTACCAACCGCACATCCGAAAGGCCCCAAACTTCCCAAACCACGTCACCCAAAACCCTACTCTAAAGCTCAAAAAGCACGAGTTTGACAGAAGTAAGAAGGGGTCCCAGACAGCATCCTTCCGGCCTGGCTTGCGTCTTCAGATTGTGATGAGCAAACCCAATAACTAGGATACCCAGTAACCTAAGAATAAATAGGCCTCTCTTTTTGGTATTGGGTAACTTTATAAGGAACCTATGACTACAAAAAGGGAATAAGGGTACTACTGGGCATCCTAGATAATGTCCTCAATTCTACACTCTAGAACCCTCATTTCCTAAGCCCTAACATTCCAAGGCTCTAAGCCGTAATTCCAACGACCATATCCCAACACGCTAAAGCCCAAGCCCTAAACCAAAGAAGGTTTCTGAGACCCAAACCCTACACTACCTCGAAGGAAGGCCTTAAAGGAACACTTAACCGGATCATAAGCCCCAAAACTGTACACTTTCAGTTTGATAGTGGGTAATATTATCCCAAAAAGTGTAAAGTGTATCCACTCAGCTACTAAACTTCAAGGGAGTAGCCATTAAACCCTATGCCAAGTTGCAGAGGCCGAGCAGGTCCTCATCTGACAACTCCCTTGGGCAAAGGCGAAGGGTTTAGGGGTTTAGGGGTTTAGGGTTTAGGTTGTTTCCCTGTCCGCTCAGTTGTATAATTGGTCGCTTTGCAGGCTTTTCCAGGGTAGTATTGGGTTCACCTTTGGGCCTTCCTAGATTTCGTAGGCTTTACGTATCTCCGGGTCCAAAGATGATACAGCCTGCGACATCAAAGAAGGCCCTAAGGTGCACCCAATACTGCCCTGAAAGAAACGCTTCCAACAACCTCTTATCGGGTTGAGGGCCCAGACTTTCTTGGGTTTTATGGGGGTGATGATCTCGAAAATGCACAACCAAGCGGACGCAAACATCAAACAACAGGAACGACGAACATCATGGTATTTGCCACACTTCCTCAACCACACACTAAAACATAACAAAGACATGAACACACAATGCTGCACAACGTCGCCTTCGATGTGCGAAAGCAGCAAACATCCAAGGTCTTGCATTTTCTGGAAAATCTGTAAAAGAAAAACAAACGATGCACCCTTCGCAGCAGCAGATGCGCCCACTACCTTCGTATCGTTCGTGTTGTTGTCGTTGGCGTCGTTGTCTTTGTTGTCGTTGTTGTCGTCGTCGCAGTCGTAGTAGCAGCAACAGCAGCAGCAGCAGGAGTAGTAGTAGTAGTAGTAGTAGTAGTAGTAGTAGTAGTAGTAGTAGTAGTAGTAGTAGTAGTAGTAGTAGTAGCTACTGCTGCCGCTGCCGCTGCCGCTGCCGCTGCCCCTGCTGCTGCTGCTGCTGCTGCTGTTGTACAGGTGGCAGTGGTTGTTGGTGGTTTGCCGTAGGGTGTTGGTGCTTCTTGCCTTCTCACATGTGTTCTGTGTTCCTGTTTCCTCCCGCTGTCGTGGTTACTAGTAGTTGCGCTGCGCTGCGCTGCCGCCGCCGCTGCTTCAATCTGCTATGTCTCATACTAAAGATTCTGAGATAGATCATTAAGGTGCAGGCAGTAGATGGGGAGACAAGGACTGTGCTGCCGACTGTGCCGTGATGGCAGTGGCACGGTTGACTTTAGGGTTTAGGGTTTAGATGACGATGAGGGTCATGAAAAGGCTGAGGACACTCGTGTTATACCGCTTGGCGCCCTAAACCCTAAACCCAGCCGAGGGTCTTCATCACCTGCTCCTCGTCCTCAGCCTGGACTTGCATGATGGGCCCAATGGTCGAGCACGTGTCGAAGTCTTCGGTAGCGGCCTCGGATGTCTCCGATCTTGGGATTGCAAGCTTCAGGGCGAGAAGTCCTGGGACCGCATGTCTAGGAGTTTTGGCATGAGGTTGGGGGGTTGTAAAGGGAAAAGCTGTAGACATGTAAACAGAAGGCTTGTCTAAAGCCCTAAACCTTAAACCCGGAAGGGGGAGTTCACCAGGATTTCAAGCCCACGCATGTTGACAGCTCTGCTCTTTCGCAGTTCGGGGGGAGCAGTTTAAAGCTCGATAATGAGTACGCCCCGAACCCTAAGTTTAGGGTTTAGGATTTAAGGTTCCTAAACCCTAAGCTTTAGAGCTGGAAGCTAGATAGTAAGCCCATTTTGCGGAGCATTCAGCTCTTCGCTTACAGACAAACAAACCTGACTAGGCCCTAAGCGGCCTAGGTTTTGGTCTTGTAGGGATAAGGATCTAGAGCGCTAGACTCTAAGCCCAAAGCCCCGCATCCTACTCCCCGGCCTGAGATTCGTGGGCCCATGTTACTCGTACTTTCCCATAAGTAGGTGAATCCCGCGGAGTCCCGCGACAAATCAGCACCGACCAACCTTGAAATTGACAAAAAATACTTAAACGTAGCCCTAAGCCGTGCGATTGTAAAGGGTGAGGGGCCAAGACACCTTGAGCCAGTTCGCATACTCTTGCGACTGCTGGAAGGTGGGGTTGTATTTCTCCGCAATAGCCATCTGCGATGTCGACACGTCCTCATCAGTAGACTCAAACCCCGAACCAAACCGTCAACCTGCAGCCACAACCCCGGCGCCTGCTTCCAAACCCTACGACCCGCAACCCCCAAGTCTAGGGATTTGGATGAAGAGCAGGATTCAGATTTAGGGCAAACACTAAGCCTGAACCACTGGTTCCCCTCACAAGAACCTTGAAGCCGTTTCGCTTCCTTTTTAGATTGAATTTGAGGAGCCCTAAACCCTTTACCGGAACCCCAAACCCTTAGGGGTTCAAGCTGCCAGCAAAGCGTAAATCTCAAAGTTCTGATCGCAGAAAGAGCTGAGGTTGCCGGGCACCATGCTTTGCTTCACAATACAAACAGTCTTAATCACAATAACTTGGCAATAACCATGATACTACTGCTACTGCTACTACTACTACTACCACTACCACTACTACTACTACTACTACTACTACTACTACTACTACTACTACTACTACTACTAGTACTACTACTACTACTACTACTACTACTACTCTACTACTACTACTACTACTACTACTACTACTACTACTACTACTCTACTACTACTACTACTACTACTACTACTACTACTACTACTACTACTACTACTACTACTACTACTACTACTACTACTAGTACTACTACTACTACTACTACTACTACTACTACTACTACTACTACTACTACTACTACTACTACTACTACTACTACTACTACTACTACTACTACTACTACTACTACTACTACTACTACTACTACTACTACTACTACTACTACTACTACTACTACTACTACTACTACTACTACTACTACTACTACTACTACTACTACTTACTACTACTACTACTACTACTACTACTACTACTACTACTACTACTACTACTAGGACTACTACTACGACTACGACTACGACTACCACTACTACTTCTACTTCTACGACGACTGCGACTACCACTACGACCACCACTACGACTACGCCGACGACGACTACTAATGCTACAACTCCAGCCGCTGCTGCTGCTACTACTACTACTACTACTACTACTACTACTAGTACTACTACTACTACTACTACTACTACTACTGCTACTACTACTGCTACTGCTACTGCTACTGCTACTGCTACTGTTACTGTTACTGCTGCTACTACATACCCCGAAAACTTGATCATGTGTGCCAGCGACTTGGGTCCCACACAGGTTCCTTACGATGCAGTATACCAAGCCGAGACTTCTCAAACTCTGATAGCTCCAAGACTCCTAGGCCCGAGTTGCAGAACCTGGAGGCCTCAATAATTAGACTAGGGTTTCGGGGGCCTTTATGCTAGAATGATAAAAAGGTAACTATCAAGGCCACGATATTATCGCCCTTACTTGTGGTTTCAACTGCAGATCAGCAAACGCGTGCTTCTGTCCGGGGTGCCCTAGGACTAAAGCAGAGTCTAATAATGGCCATGATCACCCGCTTGTCCAAGCGATAGCTTCAGCATTAAGCTGCATGCTTTCTTTGTCGCCGCCAGTAGCATGTGGCAGGTACTTCTGCCGGCCGCAAATGCAGCAGGTCAGCAACTCTAAAACCGAAACTAAAGTGCGGGGTTCGCCACGGAAGTCTTGCCACTGCTGCCCGTTTATGCCCATGACGACTGCTGCCACATTGCTGTTCCAACTGTTGTTCTGTTTGCTGCCGCCAATGCTAACAGCCAATATAAGCGCTGCAGCCCAAACCCTGCTCTAGATCAGCCGACCGAGACATTCTGCGTCACGCCATACTGCTGCGCACCCTCACTGATTCTACAACAACTCTTGAAGCATTTGGAACGTTCGGCTTCCAATTTGTCAGGTTCTTGGCTTAGGGTGCTTAGGGTTTGGGGGTGTAGAGTCTCGGTTTCCGGTTTAGCGCCTAAGCCCTGTCCCACGATGCCAGGCCCTACACCCTAAACACTAAACCCCACAAACCCCAAGCCCATACTGAACTCAGAACCCTAGCAAAATTATAATGTTGGCTGTTTCTTAATGATTACAATAACCAAAAACTAAAAATCATTTCTAAGTACCCCTAAGAAGCCCTGAACCCAAACCCTCCGAACCCAAAAGCCCAGCCGAGACTCCATCTTCTTTATCAAATCCTCCAGGAGCCGTGCGTTTTCAAACATTAACTCGCCAACCTGGGTTTTGAAGTAACCAGGGAGAAAAAAAGTATAGATTCTTTTTTTTTCATAATTGGTTCCCTTTAAGTAACAGGTCCCAACAAAGTATTAAAGTATGGTACTCCAAAGCCCAGCAACTTGCCGGATGAGGTGGCTGGCGTCTTTCCCTGCCACGGAAGAGAGGACCCCTAGGTATATACCCTTAATAATATAGCTATTATATGGGAGTTTCAGAAAATAGGGGACCCTAATATAGTACCCTAAATAGTAGGATCGTTCATATGAGGACCCCAAAATAAGGTAACCCCTAATATTCTGAAACTCCCATATATCCATTATATATAGCCCATTATAGGGTAGGGGTCCCCATTAAGGGTCCGAGCCCTAAACCCTAAAACCTACTCTGGGGCCCCGGGTCCCAAATGGTTTTGAGAAACTCGACACAGTATTCTGAGCAACCAAAGCAGTAGGGGTTTAAGGTCTTAGGGTTTAGGCCAGGCTTCGGGTTGCTCCTTAAAGGCCCCAAGCAGGGCTAGAAAAAAGTTGATGGCAAACAGCCAGAGCGAAGACGTGTCTGTAATTTCTGGATATAGCAGGCAAGACTAATGGAGAGTGCTCTGACTTTGTCTTGAACTTCTACTAGTAAGTGCTCCGACCTGGACCGTATGTGTTGTGGTGAGACTGGAGAAAGCGGGTTGCGACACCTTGTGGCTTAAAGGATTTCGGGGACATGAGTTCCGGCGCGCAGCGCTCTAGGGCTCAGGGTTTCGACTCAGAACCCTCCGATTGATCTCACGTGCCTGCGTTCCTGAATGCCTGCAATGCCCCTGAACCCTAAACTCTAGACTTGAAACCCCAAGACTCCAGAACCTAAGTTCCTAAAACCACCTAAACCCTGTAGCCAAAATCCCTGCGCTTATTTCACTAAAGCTTCTGTAAGGGTTATTTAATCACGGCTTCTGGTTTCGCTTTTCACAAGTTTGTGTCTCATGGGGCTTATGATTTAGGTTGGGGGTTCAACAGTGCACTTTTCAGCCTCCTTGCAACTGTGTCGTCTGCGAGTGATACCTCACCTTGAAGTCCCAAGTTCTTACACTCATCATGACGCGTACAGTAGAACCCCCTCCAAAGAGTTAACCTTTACCTCCTACAATAAGAACCTTGGGGAAACCCCAAAAGTGATAAACTCTGAGGAAACACCAAAAAGCTAAGATCCTAAAGGTCACAGCTCAGTCCCAAACAAAACTCCGAGCCGAAAGCATGGAACATCTATATCCTGCATCCGTGACTTTCGAAACCCCAAGACCCCAGAACCTCCTGCCTGTGATGCGATACTTGGAGGTTCATGGGTAGTTATAAGTGGGGTTATAAGTAGGGCAACTATACTTATAACCCCCATTGGGGCACTTATAACCCCACTTATAATCACCCTAAGCCCTAAACCCCTCTATGCTTCTGGATCCCCATAGATCCCTTCTTAAAAGGGCCCTGATAGCTACCCATGAGCCTCCAAGTAGGGTTTAGGCTTCAGCCTCAAGCCATAGTATCCTCGAAGCCTTCGCAAACAGTGCAAGAAGTCGAAGTCTAAGCTGCTCCCTGCAGCAGATTTCCAGAATCCGAAAACGGGAAACCCTGAAAAACTGAACCAGCGTAAACCACACCAGTGAGACAATAATATAGGGGCCTTAATACTAATTAGAATAGGGCTCTGGGGCGCATTCTACAATATTTATCATAAGGAACGCCCAAAGTAGCAAATAGTGTAGGTAATTATTTAGGCCCCTATATTAGGGCTGTGTCACCTGGAACTTATCTTCCCCTGCCTCGACACAGAAAACCCTAAACCAGGCTCACAACCTTGAACAAGCCCCCCCCCCCCCCCCCCCCCCCCCCGATTTAGGGCTTAGGGTAGCCTCCAACGCCGAAATTCTAAAGCCCCTAAACCTTAAGTGCAGCCCCGCGACGCAGGGTAACGCTTCCAGGGGAGCATTCAGTCGGCCGGTGCCCCGGCTCGCGGACGAACTTGTCCTTGGGGTTTAGGGTTTCCAGAATTTTGATCGTTTGTGACAGTATGATTGTATGTGTGCGTGTGTATGTGTATGCCTGTCTGTCTGTCTGTCTGTCGGTCTGTCTTCCTCAGGGGGAACCGGTTTAGGGTTTAGGGTTGAACCTCTATACAACCACCAAAGCCCTAGAAACTTTGATCCATACATGCTCCCTGTACAAACCCCGTCTACATCCCAAACAATACCCTTGTTCACCTCCCTTCAAGAAGCCCTAGCTAGGGGCATCATTTATTTTGATTGTCCTGCGGGTCCTGTTTGCAACTTTCTCTTATTCGTCTCGACATAGTTCGCAGTCATGAGCCCTACCAGTCCACAGCACAAGCGGCTTCAAAATTGAGATGAGGAAGGCTGCGTAGGTGGTAGACTTCGCATTAGGGTTTGCGGTGCAGGTCTTCCTGCGATTCAGCGACTCACAAGGCGTGGTTTACGGGCAGTTTTGGCTCAGGCAGTTGAGTTGCCACGTGCATGAATACCCAAGACGCACCACCCTAATGAATCTGCACACACTTGATTTTTGGTGTTCCGTATTGGCACGTAGGCTCCGCGCTCGGCCATGAATCTTGGACTCTAGACCCTAAGCCGTAAATTCTCAGCCCCGTTTTTCAGCCGGACAGATGTTTCTGCCAAAGTCGCATACATGGCAGCCAACAGCGAGAAGGCAGTTTCGCCTTCGGATTCCCACGGTCGGTTGTGTTAAACTCAGAGGGTGTGTAATTAGGGTTCTGAGTCTACACAGGGCTTTACAGGTTCAATGCAGCTTTCGATTCCTGGGGTTTGAGAAGGCCTTCCTAAAACACTAAGGGTTCCCTTTGTTTAGGGGCCCTGTAGAACAAATCCTATTTTGTTCAGGTGCTGTCTTTCCGAGAACCGCAACCTTGCAGTCGCACCTGCGATGTCTGCTGCCGGGTTGAAGGTTTAGCTTCCCAGAGAGCCCAATACCCCCCTAATCAAGGAATATGGCTTAAATTGTATAGGGTTTGACATGTTGATTTAAGCCATATATTCCTTAATTAAGGGGTATTGGGCTCACTGGGTTAGGGGCTGAGCACCCTAGACCAGAGCTTTACGAAGCACATGGGTTTGTGCCGCGAGGCTGGGTCGTATGACACATTTTGAGCGAATACTTGGAGGTTCATGGGTAGTCATAAGTGGGGTTAGAAGTCCCCTAATAAGGGTTGTAATTAGAGTTAGCGTACTTATGACCCCAGTTATGACTACCCATGAACCTCCAAGTAGAGTTCAGGGAGGAATGCTATGGATGCATTTATACAGCCCTAGGTGGTAGGGCAGGCTATGGATGCTTCTACGACAGTCAGTTTGGCGGCTTTCAACCCACAAACCCGTAACGTTTAGGGGCTGAATACTCAGAAAAATTTTGTCATAATCCTTTCACAGTATAACCTAGCCCCTTCCCCTGTCAACGACACTCTTTGCTACTATTACGCCGCCTATGCTACGAAACCGTACACACACCATCAACCCTACGCCACAGGGATTTGCAGAAAGCATAGGACATATAACAGAACCTGAAACACCGGATTCTGAATGTAGTACGGTTGATGATATAAATCCTGCATGACCCATAATAAGGAATATACCATAATTCCCATTGTTTAAGGTTCTTAAGGTAATGCAGGATTTTTATCATCAACCGCAGGAGGCCTTGGGCTTAAGCACCCTCGACCCCCATCGGCGGCTTTTTATGATGGGAGGATTCTTGGGGTAGGGATTCCTTAATATGGACCCTATTATGGGAACCCTAATCCCCACTAAAGCCCCATAGGCTAAAACCCCTTTTGGCTTCCTATGATTTTAATTCATCCAGGCGGCTGATGAAGGGAAAGGAGGGCAAGTTAATGCTGAGACGCAGAGCCATGATCTTGGCGTTCTCGGTGACCCCTGGCCAAGGGTCATGATCGGAAGACACTACAATACCCCCAAACCCAAAACTTTGTGAGTCGAGGTTTTAGGACTTCGGGGTCAGGGCTTGGGGGTTAGATGCGGTTACGGTTTGGGGGTTTTTGGCCCTTAAACGGATACCTTCGACATCTCCAATGAACAGGGCACTTGAACTGACATGCCGAGCTGGAATACCTTAGAAGCTGCCCCCCACCCTGTAATAGTGACTATAAGGATTATACTAGGGCCCTATTATATTCTAATATACCACCATTACAGGGTGGGGGCCCCTTCTAAGGAATACCACATAAATTCAGACCGAGCGCCCCAAGAAGTCCTATAGCTGCAGACAGCTCTTCTCTTAGTAGCTGAGTTCATAAGCCACCCAAAAGTGTACACTCTTAGCTCTATAATGGGTAATATTATCCCAAAAGGTGTAAAGTGTATCCACTCAGCTACTGAGTTCTTGTGCTTTTGTTCGGGGTGTAGGGCTCAGGGTTTCGAACTACGTCCGCTCCCTCCAGCACCTTGGCAATCCTTGCAGCGAGGCACCCAGATATACCTAAGCTTGCGGAGCACCAGGGGCTTGAGGCCTGCTTGCCGACTTTTCTGTTCCGGTGTGCAGTGGTCAACACCGAAGTGTGGAAAGTCCTAAACCCTAAACCCTAAATCCCTTACACCTTAAACCCTAAAGCCCTAAACCCTAAGCATTCTTGGGATTCTTGGAAGGGTTTGGGGCACTTTGGGGTTTCGGCTCTGTATAGCCTTCAGGAGTGGGACTCAAACGCGCCTCGCTTGAACATCCGCAACAAGCTCGAGAGCTGGAACAATGTACAAACAAGCTACATGTACAATCGGCTTTCAAACGCGCTACACCAACTTGGGGCAACTGAACTTCGTTCCCTTCATCACTTACCTACCAAGGCCCCCCCTCTCCCTTCAACTAATATAGGGGCCTAAATAACTAAAGAATTACCTGAACTACTTTGGGAGTCCTTATTATGATTATACTATAATATACCCCAAGACCCTATGCTAATTATTAAGGCCCCTACGCTACGGCCCCCGGGCACCGCGGGAGGTCTCTGAATCCCGAACTCCTACTCCAGAAAAAGCCTGGCGCAGGCGATGCTGTGCCAAAAACCATGGACCTTTTAAAGCCTGATGCCTAAACTAGGGTAGGTATAAGGGCTCCTTTAAGGGCCCCTTTAAAGGGATCTATAGGGATTCCATAAGGGTATAGGGGTTTTTGGCCTACTCGGAGGTTCATGGGTAGTTATAAGCGGGGTTAAAACCCCCCTTATCGGAGTTATATTCATAGTTACCCTACTTATAGCCCTACTTATAACTACCCATGAACCTCCAAGTAAATTAGGGGACTTACCTGTACTCTCCATTGTAATTCCTTCTTGGGGTTACCGATTCGGATCCTAGTTATATCATTTGCTGAACCAAGACAGGAACTACAATGGCGACACTATTCAATGCCTGAACCAGCCAGTGACCGCATGTGAAGTAATATGCAGGACAAACCAATCAGAAATAGTACAATCGCTAACAGAGGTCTAGTATGGTACCCAACCTAAACCTTTTCTGAATCACAAATGCTTGAAAGGACCAAGTCCCTCAGCCCACATCCACAAGCTCTAAGACCCTGACCCCAAAACCCAAACCGTAAACACGTCGAACTCCTGTAGAATCTGTCACGGGGACCCTTCAACGAAGACCCATCCAAGCCTACTTGGAGGTTCGTGAGTAGTTGTAAGTAGGGTTATAAGTCCCCTACTTATAACCCTACTTATAACTACCCATGAACCTCCAAGTAGGTCATCCTTGCATGCAAGGGTGCTTGATCATTTCGGATAGTGACCCGAAGCACTCCGAATTCCTGAAGCGCGGTTACCGATTGGGAGTTGTTTGGGCTTTGCAAGTTCAATTCGGAAGCGTTTGGGGCTTCCGATTTCGTGCAGGTTTGTAGGTGAGGTCGGTGAGAAGCCTGCTTTAAGCCACGTCAGCTTCTTCACTTCACGAAAACCATCTAGGCTCCAAGACCTTCAATCACCCCTTCAGGGCTTTAGGGCGTTGAGGGCCAACCTAAACCCTAAACCCCTAAAACGCTGACATGAGAGCCTGAATAGATGGTCGTACGGTTGATAATATAAATCCTGCACTACCCATAATAAGGAATATACTGTAATTGCCATAATTCCCATAGTTTGGGATCATTAAGGTAATGCAAGATTTATACCATCAACAGTAGTTGAGGGGTGTCAAGAGAAGCCCCGGGCCCCAAAAGCCACAGTACAGAAGGGATAATATAGGGGCCTTGATCATTAGAATAGTGTTCCTTTAAGGGGCTCTATAAGGGCTGCTGTAAGGGCTATTGTAAGGATTTAGTATAGGGGCTTTACTATTTAGAATCGGGTATAATAAGTAATCCCCAAAACAGTATGGTAATTGTTTAGGCCCCTATATTACGGCTTTTAAGAGAGACCAAACCGAAGGCTCATCGCACAGTAGTAGGGCGTCGTCTAGGGTGTTGGGGTATATTCCAGGAGCTTGTACTCGTGGCCCTGAACCCCTGAAACTTTACAACTAGCCCCTAAACCCTAAACCCCAAACGTATTCAGAATAAGAGCCCTTTAAATACTTTGGGCCATTATTTTACTTGCTGGGTAACCCTAGACGCCCTAACTATACCCTAAACCCTTCCTGGACCCTAAAGAACCTACCTTTTGGAACTCCTTAATATGAATTCCTTCTAGAAGTCCTTCAACCCGAAGCCCTATATCTGCAGGCCCACCCATAAACCTTGACTCCCATCGGCTAACCCAATAATCGGAATAAAGCCTACTTCCGGTATACAGCCCGAGAATCAGATACCAGTAGTAAGGAACATACCATTGCTCCCATAGTCTAGGGTCCTTAAGGTCATGCAGGATTTATATCATCAGCAAGTCCGGTATACAGCCCCAGAGGCAGATACCAGTAGTAGGACGCCCCGACATCCGCAGACATCGGAATTACCGCCTTTGTGATGCTCGCGCCGGCCTCGCTCCAACAAGATTTGGGGGGGGGGGGGGGGGGGCGAGCTCTAATGTAGAGCTCTAGCATTAGTATAGGGTTTTGGTGTGAGTCATAGAAGAGTCATCATAAGGGGAGGAGAGAGAGCTGCACCATGGGCTTTAAGAATTCGCATACCTTGTAGTATACTCATAACAAGGAACTGTAAGGAGTAGTATCAGTGACTAAACTTCTGTATTGCATGAGGCTTTGGCGGTTCGGTTCTTCGGCAGTTCGGACTTGGAAGGATATTTCGCATTGGCGTTCCTGAAGTTTAGAGATCAGGCCTCCCTTCTTTTAAGAGATGGCAGCTTCACAGGGACCTACTGCGGAAGAATCCCCCGTTGTCCGGGAACTGTACATCCGAACATAGACACTCTTAAACCTCCCCGTGCAAGTTTTTTGTAAGCCTTAATGTGGGAAGTATAGGGGGAGGCCCTATGGAAAAGGAGTTCGCGGTAGGCAAAAAACACTCGTCTAAGCTTCTGAAGCCCTCCACTCTCGAACTCGATGAACATCGCCAGCAAGAACGAAACGGCACAGCCCTTGAGGATCGCGCGCTCCATCCCAGTGTGATGCCGTTGACTCCATGTGGCTCCGGAATCCATGGACCTGCGACAACTCGTGGCAGCTAAATATTTCATTGGATTTTTTCGCTTCCTTGGTTGTAGGCTTAAGGCTTTGGGGTTTAGGCTTTAGGCTTTTGGGGATGGTCGAGCTCAAGGTTTCGACGGGTGTGAGTGGCCCTCTCGGTCGGTGATTCATGATCATCACAGCGGTGCTGAAGCATAGGAAGAGCCCGATCCTAAACCCTAAACCCTAACCCCCCCTACACCTGAGAACTCCACATTAACAGGAAACTACATGGTGTCCAATATCCGTGGGAGGCCCTTCTGAATATGCACTAACTCCTAGACCCCAACAACCCAAAATCTAAACCCAAAGCCCCAACCCCTAACCTTAAACTTTGAACAGTCTTTACTTGCCAGGGCGTTGGGGTATACTATACTTTAATTTAAGTATAATGCACAGCAATAAGGAACCATATAGGTATTCATTCAGCCCCCTCATTTCCCAGAGTAAGGTTCAAAACTGTCCCAGCCCAATATCCAAGAAAGTCAGAGGCCCAGGTGAAGCTGGGAACAAAAGCACTCAACAACGCAACATGTCGATGCTACGGCCGACCCGGCAAATGAAGAATGGGACTATCAAGGAAGATATGGGTCCCTGAATGGTAGGTTATAAGGAAGCCTCCCAAGGGCCCTGTGAAGCCCTGTGTAGGGTTTGGGGCTTTAGGGGTTAGGGTTTAGGGGTTTAGGGTCTAGGGGTTTAGGAGCTTAGGGTTTTCGGGCTCATCCCATATAAATCCCCTTATAATGAAGCCCACTAAGATAGGGATATCCCCCATAAAATGCTTATGCTTATGTGCTTTTTGGGTTCCTAAGGTTGAGGGGTTGCATAGACTGCAGAATTCCCAGACCCGGGGCGCCTGGGATGGAGTTGTCAGCGTCGGTGGCGAACGTAATGCTCAGGCCTCAAGCGTTGCTTGGAGGTTCATGGGTAGTTATACGGGTTCCTTCAAGGGCCCCTCTAAAGGGATCTATAGGGATTGTATAAGAGTAAACGGGTTTAGGGTTTAGGGTAGTCAGAAGTAGGGTGATAAGTCCCCTAGTAGGGCTTATAACTATGGTTACCTGACTTATAACCCGACTTATAACTACCCATGAACCTCCAAGTGAGGGGTCGTAGGTCAGGGCCTAGGGCTGCAGCGTTGGGATTCAGCATTCGGCTAGGGCTAGGGAGAACGGACCGAATAGTCGCACAACCATGCTGGGGACACCATTCAGTAAACGATCGCCGACCGTTAGACATCTTAGGCAGGAGTACAGGAAAACTGACGGAGCATGTTTGCCTGAGTACGCGCTTGTAGAACCACTTGTGGTGGTATGCGATGCATGCTGGATGCCTCAATGCCTCTCCTTTGGAAGAAACTCGTCAACACATGGGTGGTTGTCAAATTCGGGTCCCTTTTTGGATCCTTATTATAATACGGCACCTAATATTTAGGGTACCCAAAAAGGGACCCTAATTCTGACAACCACCCACATGTTGTTGAAACGCCCACAGGAAGCTGACTACGGCGTCAACGAGAAGCAGCATTTCTCATTTTGCCTTCAACCCAAGACGCCCAAAGTTTCTGCAGCCCTCAACCCTAAACCATCCTAAACCCCTAGCCTGAAGACAAACCTTAAGCACCAATGCCTGAAAGCCGGCCCCAATCCTTGAAGTTCGAACTCAAACCATGTAAACCCTCGACATTACATGTTTAAACCTCAGACCCCAAACTTTCAGCCTGGAAGCCTCAAAACGTAAAAAGAACCGATCCAAAACCCCCAAACTGTTCCGAAACTAGGGGACCCTGGAATGAAACATAGATCTATGGATACTCATCGTTCTTAAGGCGTACCAGGATAAACACCTAGGCAGCCTTAAAAAAAGACGATCTAAGGCATCCCCAAACCCTGAACTCTATAGCCGACGTTCTAAGCCCTGTAAATCCGCTTTTGAACAACCTTTAGAGGCCATAAGGGAGCCCTTAAAGGAGCGCTCCTTTCGGGGTTGCTTCAAGGGCTCCTGCAAGGGTTCCTCTGAAGGCCTCCTTGTTTTCGGAGCTTTAGATCGCGCCCCAAATCCTACGAAACCTAGAGGGCTCCAAACTAGGGTCCCCCTTAAAGGTACTATAGGGCTCTAGAATAGGGTCCCCCCTTAAATATAGGGATCTATAACCGGGTCGCCCTTAAAGGATACTATGGGGTTCTATACTAACCCAGGGCCGGGCCAGCGTTGAGGCCGAAGATGGAGGGTGAGAGCCCCACGCCGGTGTAGAGGCCTTGTCACTGTGACTGGGGTCTTTTTGTTCGGGCTTTATGAAGGTGTTAAGGGGTCATAGTAGGCTTTCTAAAGCTGGTTTAAGAATGTATGTTAAATTGTCTTAGTAGGCTTTCTATGGCTGTTTTAAGGATGTATGTTCAATACAAGCTTTGCGGTGTTGGGGTGTTTTGGGGTCTAGAGTTGGGGTATGGCGGGGTTCAAGTTTCCGGGGTCGTGGACCTCGGCGTCAAGAGAATGAAGGCAAGCGCACTAAACACCAGCAAATCATGCCAGGAGTAAGTGAACAAGTATGACCAAATATGTGAGCCCAATCTAAGCCCTAAACTAATATCTGGATGCAAAGGAGCGGCTTGGTTCGGGGTTACATATTATGCGTGCTCTGCCCAAAGTTTTCCTAGGTACAAACCTTCTTACACCTTAGGTTTCGAATCCTGCTTCGTTGTGAAGACAATGAACCGCAGACTCTGCACCGCACTCTCTCTCTCTCTCTCTCTCTCTCTCTCTCTCTCTCTCTCTCTCTCTCTCTATGTATATACACATCCATGTCAGAACACCGAGAAATCCGGCAACCCACAAATGAACTGCGAGAGGCCCCTCAAGCCTTAATAACTACAACAGCTCGTATGGACGACAATGGTGCAGGAACAATGCTGCTTATGGTTCCAGCCTCTATATCAGGCTACGAAGCTTGAATGCTATAGAATCCTTATGGCATCCGTTTTAGTGGCCCTAAGAGATCCCTTCAAAGGAGCCCTATTCTAATTCATAAGTTTGAGCAGTTCTGAGTTCAGAAGCAACCCACAACTTCGCAATTCAAAGCAGCGAGCCTGTCACGTACGCCTCCTGCAGAGTCCAGTTCTGCTTGTAGCCTGACGCTCGCTTGCTTTCTAAGCTCCTTCTGCTGCTTCTGGAATCCTAAAGCCCCATCATAAACCGGCCCTAAACCCCTAAACCCTAAACCCCTAAACCCCAAACCCAAAGACGGTTGGTATGATCGCATTGCGACCTATGCAAGGACATGGCCGCTTTGGAACAGAATCTGCTGGCCTGGCGAACGCAGAAGTGATGTGTGAGGGGGATTTCTGGTAGATTACCACAATGACATAAGGCCGAAAAGGGCACACTCCGAGACACCCATCCCACATTTGGCACCTTGAACCCTGAAACCACCAGCCCGTCCTCCAAATCCTTCTGACTGTAGTCCTTGAAGAACCAGCTCAAAGAGTTCCATACCCCTAAAAGCCTAAAATTCAAGCGTCGAAAAGCTACTGTAAACCCCAATTCGCATCCTAACTTTTTTCCATATTTATCCAATTTAGTATTGCGGGGGAGCACCTTTTCACACCTTGCCAAAACTTATAAACCAGTGTCAGGGGCATCATTTTATCGGAGTGCACGACCTGGAGTTATGGTAACAAAGGGGGGGTTTCAGAGCTGTGGGAGCTTAAACCCTAAACCCTAATCCGCGCGGTTTCATACTTGGAGGTTCATGGGTCTTATAACTACCAATGAAGCTGCAAGTAATACCTTAAATTGTAGTTAATATGATTTCGGAAGGTCTAGAGTCTAGGTTCGCAGGTTATAACAGTCATACTAAACCCTAGACCCTAGAACCCTAAACCCCAGATACTAAACCCTAAACCTTAAACCCTAAACCCTAGAACCCTAGAACCCTGAACCCTAAAACTCTAGAACCCTAAACCCTAGAACCCTAGAACCCTAAACCCTAGAACCCTAGAACCCTTAACCCTAAAACTCTAGAACCCTAAACCCTAGAACCCTAGAACCCTTAACCCTAAAACCCTAGAACCCTAGAACCCTGAACCCTAAAACTCGAGAACCCTAAACCCTAGAACCCTAGAACCCTTAACCCTAAAACTCTAGAACCCTAAACCCTAGAACCCTTAACCCTAAACCTCTAGACCCCAAACCCTAGAACCATTAACCCTAAAACTCTAGAGCCCTAAACCCTAAAACCCTAGAACCCTGGAATAGAACCCTAAAGCTCCAGAACCCTAAACCCTACGGTTGATAATATAAATCCTGCACTACCCATAATGAGGAATATACCACAATTACCATAGTTTAGGGTCCTTCATGTACTGCAAGATTTATATCATCAACCCTAGAATAGAACCCTAAAAAATTCTCTAGAACCCTAAACCCTAAAACCCTAGAACCCTAGAATCCTAGAGTCCTAAGACTCTAGAATCCTAAACCCTAGGAGCCCACAGCTGGCCTTTCCATCCGACACCGGCATAGCCACCTAAACTCACGCCGGTCACGGAGGGTCCGAAGAAACCAGTTCCCCACCTGAGTTTAGGGTTTTGGGTTTAAGGTATAGTACAGGGTTTAGGGGTTTAGGGTTTAAGATCTACGGTTTAGGGTTCTTCTAGGGGTTTGGGGTGTTGGGTTGTATATTTCGGGGTCGGACGGATTGGAATATGGTCATACGGGCCTTCAGAGTTTAAGGTTTTGGGTTTAAGGTCTACGGTTCAGGGTTTCGGGTTTAAGGCTGAGTTTAGGGTTTCGGGCTTCAGGTCTATACAGTTTAGGGTTTAGGGTTTCGGGTTTAGAGTTGTATATTTCGGGGTCTGAAGGGCCTTCACAATTGGCTGCATGAGCTTCATATAGAAGGATTCATGATCCATGCCCTGATGCTTAGAAGACTGTTTCTACGAGTAGAAGGGCTTCTTCAAACGTTCCCCAGAGAGCCCAATACCCCTTAAATAAGGAATATGGCTTAAATAATAAAGGGCTTCATATTATGATTTAAGCCATATTCCTTAATGAAGGGGTATTGGGCTCTCTGGGTCTGTAGGGGCTCTATAGGGCTTTCATGGCATTCGGGCCTTTTCATAGTGAGACCAGGCTTAAGGAGAGTTATACAATGACTATATGAGGGAACCCTCCGGAGTACTGTTACTCCTCTTCTAATCAGGGTATGGCAGATTGAGTTGGAGCATTTTTAATTTTTATAAACCTGACCCACCAACAATCTCATTCAGTAATTCCGCATGACTGTCGAAATCTTGACTCAATCATACATTCCAAAGCTGGCGGACAGGTCCCTGAACCCAAATGTCAGGATTTGCTGATGTTCAGGGTATGAGAGTTTCGGGATTTAGAGGTTTAGGGGCCTAGAGAGACAACACCCCTAGCAAAGTTGTCTGCTGCAAGCAAAATGCTCAGGAGGACAGCTCGTTTGTGGCTCTTATCCTGCGGTTTAAATTCAGTAGGGTTTTAGGATTTGGGGCTTCGGCTTAGGGTTTAGGGGGTTTAGAGTTTCAGGATTTGGGCATCAGATTTCCTATGATTGCGACAGCAGGGACGAAGACGACCCCCCCAAAACCCTAAACCCATAAAGCCTAAACCCCCAAACCCCTAAACCCTAACCCCTAAACCCCTAAAGCCCCTAAAACCCTGAATCCTAAACCTCCAACCCCCTAAACCCAACGAAGTCGAAACTCCGCCGGGCGGCTTGAACTGCGCAATCTCGCGGTTCCGGAAGTCGATCACCTGGCCACGATCAAGGGCTCAGGTAGGGTTCAGGTCCTTTTTAAATAGGGTTTAGGCTTTAAAGTTTTTAACATCGAGTCTAGGGTTTAGGGTTTTTTAAATAGGGTTTAGGGTTTAGGGGTTTGCGGTTATATAGGGGCCTATGGGGTCGTACATATGAATTTGTATAGGGGCTTATGGGGTTGTACAGGGGTTCTATGGTAGGGTGTAGGGCTCAGGGTAGCAACAAGGTTTACAGAGACGCTTATGGGGTCCTGCAACGGTTCTATAGCACGGCGCAGGGCTCAGGGAGATAGCTATAGAGGTTTACATAGGGGCATATCGGATCCTATAGGGGCTGCATGCTTGACGGATCAGGGTACTTAGTGTTGGTATCATGTTCGATTTTGTCCAGCCAGTGTCAGGGTACGGCGGGGTTTTGGGTTTAGGCTTAACCTCAATACTCATAATGTACTTGCAAGGTCCCTGGATCCTGCCAGACTATGCGTGAAAGCAATTCTTTGTAGGTCAATGGAAAACAGATGCAAGCGCTTAATTCCATAGGGTTATGTGTAGATGTATGGAAATACAGGTATGCACATATATATATATATATATGAGTCATATGCATGTATATACTGGTTGATCTTGTATCCATCCACAAGCTAAACACGTAAAGCCTAAATACTGAATCCGAACGCCCCTGAACCCTAAACCCCTAGACCCGTAAATCTAAACCCCTGCACCCTATGCCCAAACCCCGAAACCCCCTCAGCCCTAAACCCTTAAACCGCTAAAACCCTAAACCCTCGGTGCCTCCTCGAGCCCCGCACCAAGGCCCGCTGCGGAGACGCCCACGCCACGGATGCCAAGATTTGGGGCCTCGGATGCATCTTAAAAGGGTTCTAAAGCTTTTCGGATTTAGGGTGCAAGGGTTCTTGGGCTTCTAGGGATTTTAGGGTTTAAGGCTCTAGGGTTCTAGGGTTTTTAGGGTTTGGGAGGGTCTTGGGGCTCCATGACGGTACCACTGACCACAAGGGCGTTATATGGGTTCCAGAACTAGCTTGTCGGGTATCCTGATAAACTAAAAGTTAACCTTTGGGATTATATATATGGAATATGGTACCCCAACAGGTTAAAGGTTACTAGGAGAATGTAGGAACAGTATGTAGAATGATGAAGCGGCTGCGCAGCTCCTGCCTCAACAAAGCACTTAGCGCCTTCCCCAACGGTTGAAACCATGGGCCCCTAGTATGGGTCCTATAAGGGTCCATAGAACTCCTCAGAAAGGCCTAAGGTAAAAGCCAGAAAGTTGGAATATTGATTATCCTAACCCTTCTATGGTGAATTATAGGGTATCCTACCATGAAACCATATTCCAACTTTCTGGAGTTCCCTGTAAGGGTCCATGTTCGGGGCCCTTACTTCCAACCTTGCATCTTGGGCCCCGGAAACCGCTAGGAGCTCATGAAGCATGCGCGCAAGGCGCTGTGCCCAAACTGTCAACCTACAACCCCTAAACCCCAAACCCTAAACCCCTAAAACCCTAAACCCGTAAATCCCTAAACCCTACACAACTAAAGCCCTAAACCCTAAACCCCTAAATCCCTAAACACCCAAACCCCTAAACCCCAAACCACTCGCCTGATTTCCGCACCACCAAGCAATATCTCTGCTGAGCATCGCTTACCCGGTGGCCAGTGAACTGGTAGAATCTCTGACAATCCTGGTGCCGGAAGCACTGCGCCACTGTCCGTGTGTTGTCTAATGGCGAAAGCCGGGGTGTGCGAAAGTCTCCCACTTTCTCGCCACTCTGTCTGCACCACTGACGTGCGGCTTTTCGCACAAGCGTGCTCAGTGGCACAGGGCTCAACCAGCGACCATTCATGGCACCCATAACAGTTAAAGTTCTTGACAAACCCTTATCGAACTCATAAAGGAAGGCGCAAACATGAAAGCAGCAAGAAGTCTTTTCACCACATCAAAACGATGTATGAAGACTTAACCGCAGCAAAGCAGCAATTACACGTTAAAACAACCACGCAAATCAAAACATCGAGAACCCAAACCCCTAAACCTGAAGAGCGTATAATCCTGAACCTTCAACCCCTAAACCCTGGAACCCTCATAGAACGCCCCGGCAAGTCCCTTAAAGGAACCCTTAAACAAACCTGCAAGGATCCCCGAAAGGAACCCTTGAAGGAATCCTAAGGAGGATCCTCTGAAGGCGTCGAAACCCTAAACCCTTGTAGCCTTGTAGAACCCTCATAGAACCTTTGAAGGAACCCTAAAAGGACCCTTGAAGGAACCCCCAAAGGAATGCCAAATCCTCCTTTCAAAGGCCAGGCGGCCGCCAGTTTCAGGCCCGAGGAGAAAGCGCTACGGGTCTGCCTGAAGACGTCCTGGCAACACAGGGGTTTACGGGTGCTCAAGAGGGTTTGAGGGTAGGGTAGGGTAGGGTAGAGTTAGGGTAGGGTAGGGTAGGGTAGGGTAGTAGGGTAGTAGGGTAGGGGTGTTAGGTGGTTTAGGGGGTTTACGGGGCTTAGTGGGTTTAGCCGGTCATCACTATAAGCATGAAGCTGCATAAACATGAGTATACCTGTAAATACAAATATGTGCAAGTCGAGTGTAAATGACCTTGATACTGGAAGGTGGTCTTACAGTGGATGTAAGGGCTCCAGTATGGTTTCTAAAGAGTTTTGGTTGTTAGAGGGACCTTTATGATTAATAAGGTTCGTATCAAGCTTCTATAGGTTTCAATAGCAGCTTATCTGGGTGTCTTCACCAAAACGTAGTATGATCCAATTAGGCGGTGGGATACTACTTCCAGGTATTCAGACCGATGTTGGAGACAGAACCTCCAAAAACCCAGGAGCGGCGCTCCTGGGTTAAGGCTCCAACACCTGGGTTCTTGTTAGGGAATCGAATTTAAGCCTACTTGTCGGGTATCATGGGGAACTAAAGGTTAACCTTTTTGTGTATATAGGGATTGTATAGGGACTATACTACCCAAAAAAGGTTGAAGGTTCCCTACTCTACTACTAGGTAAGTTACCATGATAAAGAAGCCATACTCTTTACTTTAGACCCCTATTCTGGCACCTTAAATGAATTTCCCTAAACCCTAAACCCAGAACTCGGTCCTGGGCACATACCCACCCGCTCCAGTTCTCTGAGGCTTTATGTAGGCAAAAACATACTTTTCCGGGAAGTGTCTTAAAGAAAGAACTTTAAGGCCAAGGGGTTAAATGAGCTAGAGTATAGTACTCTAAACCTTCAATCCTTGAAAAGTAGAAGCTCATGAACTCTACAACCCGCAAAGCTGAGGAATCCATTCGGAATCCAGAGCTGCTTTCATCAAGAGTTCAAGCTGGTGGGTTTAAACTCGAACACCCTCCGCACACGCATGGGCGGGGGGGACAAACCACCCCAGCGACTTGTGTGTGTGTGTGTGTGTGTGTGTGTGTCTGTGTGTGTGTGTGTGTGGACCCTGCATAGATCCGGCTCCGGCCTGAGAGAAAACCCTACTGTTGATGATATAAATCTTGCATTACCTTAATGACCCTAAACTATGGGAATCATGGTATACTCCTTATTATGGGCAGTGCAGGATTTATATTATCAACCCTACGAAAGGAGCACTGGTTCAAAGAGACTCGTTGTAATCAAGACAGGGCAAGGTCGGCTAGCATCCGATATCCGGCATTATCACTTAGACTAGGGTTTATTGGTAGTGTTGTTAGTATTGGTGTTAGGATGATTATGAGTGCTGTTTAGTTACTCTTACTGTTGGTGTATACGTACAAGTTAGCACGAGATGCTCTGACTAATTCTTCAGAAGACCTTGATTGCAAGGCTCCCTAAACCCAAACCCCTAAACCCCTAAACCCTAAATAATTTATTCGAATTAGAGCCATTACGGGAAGAAGAATATAAAAGATTGAAAAGTGTTTGAAATTGGTTTTTTTCAATACCAAACGAAAAACAGCTGTCATTTTGTAAGCGGAACTGCACAATTTTAAAAAAATAATATTTTCAATATTTTTAATATACAAATATCAAAAAACCATTACAAAAATAATAATACTAATATGTCTATTATTTTGTCTTCTGTTTTCAACTAAAAAATCAATACAACATTAAATATGCAAAAACATTAAGCATTTAAAAACAAAAAATTGCCAAATATAATGACCCGTTTGTGCCATTGTTTCTGATAAATGGGTAAATGCATCGAATATAAATGGTTCAGGTGTAGTAATTTCAAGTTCAATAGCATGAATAGTAATTTGTGGCAATTCTTGCCAATCCTTCCAAGAGCCCCGAAGGGAATCGTCGTCTTCACGTATGCTGCTGAAGTGCGCTGAACAGCGCCCTCAAACATCATGACGAGCAGTGCTTATGGTGTGCCCGGGCCCTCAGGAGCTATTTCCATTGCTGGAGCCCTGATAACTAGAAGAAGTGAAAAGAACCATAATAAGGTACCCAGAGCAAAAATAGTATGGGTAGTTGTTTCGGCCCTTACTTTACGTTATCCTTCAACCTGCCAGTCCCTCAGAAAGGCCTGAAGGGTCTGCAGAGCAGTCTTTCGCTGAGTTTTACACACCTCAGAAACTGAGGGCTTAGGGTAGAGGGTACTTTTGGTAGGATTACTTGGAGGTTCATGTGTAGATATAAGTGGGGTTATAAGTAGGGAAACCATACTTATAACTCGTATTGGGGGGCTTATAGCCCCACTTACAACTACCCATGAACCTCCAAGTAGGGCTCAGCTCACAAACTTTGGGGTTTGGGGTTTCGGGTTTTGCTTACAAGCTGATGAGCATGTTCATTACGGGAGTCGCCTGGGCTATCGAGCTTGGCTTAACAGTTTTTAAGACATCCGGAGAGCGGAGACAAGGAGAGAAGCCGGAGAGGCTTCAGAAGAAGAGGGGAAGAGGGGAGAAGAGAGAGAGAGAGAGAGAGCGGAGAGGAGAAGGAGACCGCCATGTTACTGTTGGGTTGGATGGCAGTGTTGGCTGAGGCTTGGTTTAGGGTTTGGGGTTACCCAGAGAGCCCAATACCCCTAAATTAAGGAATATGGCTTAAATTATATAGGGCTTCATATTATGATTTAAGCTACATTCCTTAATTAAGAGGTATTGGGCTCTCTGGGTAGGCTGTGGAACTTAGTGCAAGTGACAAAGTCTACGACGCAGGTTGAGGGCAAGTTGAGGGTTGAACCTTTACTAGGATGCCCAGCAACCTAGGAATAAAAGGGCTCCCTTTTTGGTATTGTGTAACTTTATAAGGAACCTAGGACTACAAAAAGGGAATAAGGGTAGTACTGGGCATCCTGGTTTAAGACTTTGAGGATCTCACCTCCGCCACCCAAGCTTTGAACAGCTTCCGTGCATCCCCAAACTCTAAAACCACCTCAGTGCTGCAAGCCCTAAACCCTGAAACCCTCAGGACCCTTGAAGAAACCCTAAACCCTAAACCCTAAATCCTAACCCTAAACCCTAAACCCCAGACCCGAAACCCTAAACCCTAAAGTCAAGGAGCACTCTCTTCGACAGCTTCGATCGTGTCTTCGGCATCGTCAATGCTATCGAGCTTTCCTGGCGAAAGCGGGGGCCTCCATAATTAGAACCCAGAGAGCCCAATACCCCTGAAGTAAGGCATATACCTGAAATCATAATATGAAGCCCTATATAATTTGAGCCATATTCCTTAATTAAGGGGTATTGGGCTCTCTGGGAATCCCTTGGGAGGGAGTTTTTTGTAGGAATTAAGTGTTAGTGCGTACTACTGTTGATGGACGTAATCCTGCATGACCCTAAGGGCTCTAAACTATGGGAACTATGGTGTATTCCTGATAAGGGAGTTTCCGAGAATAGGGGACCCTAATATAGTACCCTAGATAGTAAGATCCTTGTTATAAGGACCCCCAAATAAGGTACCCCCAATTTTCGGAAACTCCCATAAAGAGTAATGCAGGATTTTGTCCATCAGCAGTATTCCGGCTTCCATGGCTCAGGCACGAACCGTGCATTTGGGATTCCTCAGGCTGACGTAGACGCCCCTTGAAGCCTCTGAAAAATATTCGTAATTGGGGTCCTACTAAGCCCAATAAGGGAAAATATAAAAAATGTCCCAAAGGCCTAGCTAGTAGACAACAGGGGGGGCCACTAGGCTCGGGCTCGAAGCTCTAGACTGTAGGGGTTCACTGCTTGGGACTATTCTTTACTGAACTTAGAACCCTAGCAAAAATGATAATTTAGCTGTTTCTTAGGGAGCGTAAAAACCAAAAATTCAAAATTATTTCTAGGTACCCCCAAGAATTCGCTTTTGGCACTAAGATCTTCTACATAGCATCGGGTTGGGTTTAAAGTGTATCTCTTCGGACACAAAGGGGAGGCCCCAAGAAGTCGCGCAGTTACTTAAAGGCCAAGGCCGTAACAAGGGAAGTCCTACATTCATTCAGGCATCCCGAGCCGGTACCTAAACCCCAAACCCTAAACCCCTAAACCCTAACCCTAAACCCATGACCGTTCAGCTTTCAACTTGCCTGCGTTCAGGTCTTTGTGCAGGCTCTTGGCTGTCGCCTTGGCGACACCTGATGGAATGTTGGCGCAAAGACATTCGGTGAGGAGTTCAAGTTTGGAGTTAAGCCTTCGGTTTGGGGTTTTGGGCCTTTGGGACCTGGGAAGTGATGAAGGGTAAATATGTGGCAGAAACCAGGAGTGTCCACTTTGGTCCGATGTGGGGTCTCTGTTCTGCACGACTGCCTTCAAGACAACCCGAACTCAGTAACTGAGATCCCCTCAACCTTAAGCCCCAAAACCCCATCGGAGTGTCCCATCTCAAGACTAAGTCCAAACCCTGAACCCTAAGCCCCTAAGACCTAAACCTAAATCCTGGCTACAACGCCCTGCAGTGAACTCGGAAATTGAAAAACTTCCATCGACGAAGGGCTGGCCAAGGCGCCTCCCTTTTTTCTCCATGGTAATCCTAAGCCCTGTGAAAACAGGTTTAGGGGTTTAGGGCCTAGGGGTTGAGGGTGCTACTTCAAGTCCAAAACCGGCTTTGGCCCACTCTAACTTGCTGGGTCGACTACAGCGCCCTCCCGGCAGGCTCTGCATCAACCAACATTTTTTGAGAGGAGCCTGCGTAAAATTGGAATAAGGTTTGGAGCTACATTCTAGCGTATTTATGAGAAGGAATCTTAGACCCCTGTATAAAACTCCGTGCTGTGGGGCACTCTAAACACCAACAGCTAAACCAGACATTGCACACCCTAAACCCCAGACCCTAAACCCTAAACCCTAAACCCCAGACCCCAACCCCAGCTGTCAACCCTCGACCCTGAACCTTCTAAGCTGTACATTTCAATTCAGACCCTGGACCATTAAAGCACTCGTGTTTATTAGCCAGAAAACCAACCCCTATATATGATCCCGGTTCTCGGTTCACAGACCCCCCCCCCCCCCCCCCCCCCACGCTCCCCAAGCCGAAATCTGTGTGTGACTGTGCAAGCTTTCTCCAAACGAGGGCGCACACACGCCAAGCAGACCCACGCAGGAAACCCAAACCACACCACACCACAGGAGGGAGTGGGGAAACCAGCCTAAGCAGACCCACTCCCGCACCACACCACAGGGAGGGGGAAGCAACCCACAACCACACCACACCACAGGGGGGGGAGGAGGAACCATTTGGGGGGGGGAGGGGGGGGGTGCTGGCCGAACCGGGATCATACATACCCGAAACCCCTAAACCTTAAACCCCCAAACCCCAAACCCCCACACCCTAAACCCCTAAACCCCCACACCCTCAACCCTCGTGTTTACAAGCCAGAAACCCTCCCAACCACTCGACCCCCCAAAACCCTGAACCTTCAATGGATCCCTGTAAAGGAGCCCCTTAAACCCCAAGACCCACTCCCTTTCGAGCCCGGGCGCCCATCTTCTGTCGGGCAGCATCCTCGGATATGGCACCTGGCCATCTGAGTCCGGGTACTTATTAAGGGTTCCCTTTAAGGGACCCTTGAAAGGGATCTGTAGGGATTCTGTAAGGGTATAGGGGTTAGGGCCTCGCCATCTTGCTTGGGGTAGTTATAAGTGGAGTTATGTTCCTAGGGGTTAGGGCCTGGCCATCTGACTTGGGGTAGTGTTAAGTGGAGTTATGTTCCTTTAAGGGTCCCTTTAAAGGGATCTTTAGGAATTCTGTAAGGGTATAGGGGGTAGGGCCTGGCCATCTTACTTGGAGGGGTTCTAAAGCCCTACATAGTAAGCACTAAGATGCCCTTAACCCGAAACCCAAACCCCTAAACTCCCAAAGCCCTATATAAAACCCTACTTGGAGGTTCAGGGGTAGTTATAAGTGGGGTTATAAGTAAGGTAGCTATAGTTATATTATAAGCCCCATTAGGGGACTTTTCACCCGACTTATGACTACCCATGAACCTCCAGGTACCACTGTACGCGACTTAATGATCAGAATAGGGCTTGGGGGGTATATTGTACTATAGTAAGAATAAGGAAACCTCCAAAACCTTACTCTAATTATTAAGGCCCTTACTTGCTGTACGTTTCGATTAACGTTATGATTGTGATGATAATGAAGATTATGACCGTTATGTTGTTGATTGAGCTGATTGCCAGGGGTGCGACTTCATTTCAAGTTTTACTGCTTGTTGTTGCAAGCGTCCGAATTGGCTGTTTCGACATGGACTCACAAGCCTACGTGGAGGTTCATGGGCAGCTATAAGTCGGGTCAGAAGTAGGGTAACCATAGTTATAAGCGCTGCTGGGGGTCCTATAACCCTACTTACAACTACCATAGACGCCAAAACCGCATAGAATCCTTACAGGAACCCGACATGTAACGTATAAGCCTAAGCCCGACATGTAACTTATAAGCCTACTTATAACTTTCAGAAGTCTTTATCACCCTGCTTGCCCGGTACTTACTTGGAGGTTCATGGGTAGTTATAAGTGAGGTTATAAGTAGGGCAGCTGTCATTATAACCTTTATTAGGGGACTTATAACCCTACTTATAACTACCCATGAACCTCCGAGTACCCTCGGGGAACTAAAGGTTAACCCTTGGGATTCTATAATTAACTATATAGGGCTTGTAATACCCCCGAAAAGGCTTCAATGGTTACCTTCTGGACTACTCGGTCACCCGTGTCTATCCCCTAAGCCCTAAACCCCAAACAGCCTGAAGCCCCAAACCAAACCCTGACTGAACCCCAACGCTTAAATCCTAAACTAAACCCTAAGCTATCAGAAGACCGTACCTATTCCCAGATCCGAAGACCGGCCCTGGAATAAACAACACGTATCTAACAAAGGACGCATACTATAGAGGCCGAAATAATTACCCTTACTGTTGTTGGGGGGTCCTTATTATGACTAGTCTAGAATATAACCCCAAAGCCCTACTCTAATTATTAAGGCCCCGATTGTACATATACCGGAGAGACAGCAAAGGACCCTTAAAGAGACTCTAGCCGTTGTGCGCTGAATGAACTTCTTGTCTTACAGGGTTTGCTGCCCGTTTTCTGTCGGTTGTATGGGGTCTACGTTTGGCTCTTCGCGGTTCTCCATGGGTTGCGTAGAGTTTGTATCTGGGTTTTAGAAGGTTTGGCTTCTTTGGCTCCTTGGGAAGGTCTGGGTTCCTGAGAAGGACTTTAGGAAGGCCCTGTACTTGGAGGTTCATGGGTAGTTGGTTGGGTTATAAGCCCCCCAATAGGAGTTATAACTATAGTTACTACTTGTAACCCCACTTATAACTACCCATGAACCTCCAAGTATATGATTGTGCAAGTACCGAAACGCAGTTTCTTGCTCTCCAGGGGTGGCTTTTGGGGCCAGGCTTTTGAAACTCGCTAGCTGTCTGAGGGCTCAACCTGCGAGGTGCAGGAAGCGCTTCCTGAGAGCGATCCCTCATCCACGACCAGTGCATCGTCGCTGCTCCAAAAAGCAGGCCGCGTCAAGAAACTCGTTAGCTGTCTGAAGGCTCAGCCTGCGCGCGGTGTGGACTCGGGAGTCGGTGGCCACAGCTTGGACCAGACCAGAAAGAGCTGGCCATAACTTTGCCAAAGCATGATGAAGTGGGTGTTTCCGAAAATGAGGGGACCCTAATAAAGTATCTAAATAGTAGGATCCTTTTCATATGGACCCCAAAATAAGCTCAAGTAGATCAGGGCTGGTGGATCTCACGAAAAAGCTCTATCCGGGATTCGCACTTGGGAGGTGGAGCTTGATGCCCCTGGCTTAACCCTTGCAGATCGGGTTTAGGGTTTAGGGTTTGCGAGCTGTTACCCTAAACCTGAAGCGCAAATGACACCCTGCAGGCCCCACAGAACCCGCGCATTACGGAGCCTTGCGCCGCATCGCTGACCGCATTTCCCATCGCAAGCTCGACTTTTGTGCTCTCCATGTTCAAGTCCTCGCTCGATTTAGGGCTTCGTGGGGCAAAGGGTTTAAGGTTTACGGACTTGTGGGCTTGAGGGCTTCAGGGCTCAGGATTTCAGAGTTTAGTGTCTGGGAGGTTCAATGACTTTCGGCTCCACGGGTTTAGGGTTTCGGGCTTCAGGGTTAAGTCGGGTTAAAGCCGGCCCCTTAAAGGGATCTCTAGGGTTCCTTAAAGGGCCCCTTAAAGGGATCTCTAGGGTTCCTTAAAGGGCCCCAGCAGTTTGGGGTTTAGGGGTTTTGGGCTGCAGCTTGCATCTGAGACTGCCTCATGGGCCCCTGTCTTGCTGGAGTCGAGTCGTGTACGAAAGTCATTCCGTTATTCTGGTTGCGCGTCCATGCCGCGAAATGATAGCTTATATCTTCTGGATTTGTCGGAATTAAAGGCAGCATGCAACATGAACGGAAGGCGTCAACAAACGGAAGCCTTACTGTAGGGGCCTTACTAGTTCAAACGGGGTTTTGGGGCATATTTCTATTATAATAGGGAACCCCCCCAAAAAATAGTATTGGCAATTATTTAAGCCCCTATATTACATGTTCTTCCAGGCCTTGAGCTCCTGATTGTCCTCACTGTAACAAACGGTCACAACCGCTGTATTAACGAGAGCGGAAACACGATTGTAATCCACTTCCGCAAACGGTTGTAACAGCAGAAGATCCTGGTGAACGATGTCAACGAAGAAGGGTTTAGGGTTTTAGGGTTTAGGGGCTAGGATTTAGGGATTAAGGGTTCAGGGTTTAAGGGTTAGGATCTAGGGATTCAGGGTTTAGGGTTTGGGGTTCAGGGTTTAAGGCTACAAGCATGTTTTCACGGAGCCATAATTGAGAACTGCATTCGGAACCAGGCGGCATCAGCATCCATGCTGCTGAGCTGATTCCTTGGGTCTTTGCGAAACGGGCTCTTTTCCACAGTTCAAAGCCCTCAAAGTAGGGCTTCAGTTCAAGTCCTAAACTTGACGCACCCGTGCCCTCATGCCTGTTGGTTACTTCAGGCTTTGCAAGTTTAATGTAGAGTTCCCTACTGTCGTCATCGAAATCCAACGAAAACATCACCAGAACTTCCCAGGGGAAATCATGAATCCCTCAGCCACAGGCCCCCGAACAACGCGCCCATGCAGTGAAGCCCCGACCGGAAGTCCTTAAATCGTAACCCTGATATCTGAGTTCTACGATCATAAACCCAAAGGCTTAAGTCGAAACTCCGCTTTGAAACCCATAAACAAACCCAAAACCCGTGGTTTTCGGGGTTTCGGGTTTTCAACTTTGAGGGCTTACAACCCCAGAATCCTGTATAACTATTGGACCGGATTGCCTTACGCCTCAAACCTGGTTCTTGGAAACTTCCGTCTGGAGCTTCTGTTCGATCAACCGCAAGCAAAACAAGTGCGTCCACACCAAACGCCGATCCCCCGTAGCAAGTGCTTCGGGTGAGTCTGACTTCTTATGAAGGCAGCCCAAAACCCCATCGCTCCCCTTCAGATAGCTCCGAGGTGCACGGTTTTTTCGATGCTGTCCTCCTTGGTGCTGGTGTGAAGTCCGCCTTTCTTGGCAGCCTTCAAGGCACCTGGTTGGGGGTGTTGAGGGTTTACTGGATTACAGTAGAAGCCATAAAGTTGGAACATCATTATCCCCATACCTTGAAGGTGAAGTAGAAGGAATCCCCGCACTAATCAGCTTAAATTTATGTTCCACTTTTCTGGGGTTTACTGGATTATGGGTACCCTAAATTACACCCCCCAAACCTCTCCAAAGCCCAAGCCCCAGCCACTGAAGACCCCAAACCCACGCAAAAACTGCCTTAAACCCTCAACAGGGCTCAGTTCTGTACGGGTTCCCTTGGGGGTTCTGAAAGGTTTAGGCGTGAAGGAACTTATTTAGGTTACCATAATTGAGATCTCTAGTAAATAATATGGTTTCCTTGTTGTGGCAACTTAACTCAGCATTTGCCTCCTACTTCGCTAAGGCGAGACTCAAGGCCCTCAGCCTTAAAGGCTTAGGGGTTTAGGGTTAAGCATACACCGAAGCCTAAACCCTGACCCAACCCTATCCCCCCAAAAGTGTACACTTTCAGCTTCATAGTGGTTAATATTTTCCCAGAAGTGTAAAGTGCATCCACTCAGCTACTAAGCCCTAGAGATCCCTTAAGCGATCACTTCTAAAGCATCTTCAGGGCCTAAGCTCTAGAACCATTCCAATGAACCTTGAAGGAACCCTTGTAGAAGCCTGAAAGAGAGAGAGAGAGAGAGAGAGAGAGAGAGAGAGAGAGAGAGAGAGAGAGAGAGAGAGAGAGAGAGAGAGAGAGAGAGAGAGAGAGAGAGAGAGAGAGAGAGAGAGGAGAGAGAGAGAGAGAGAGAGAGAGAGAGAGCGATATATATATATATATAGAATATGTATATACATATATATATATATATATGTATATATACATGTATATATATATATATATATAATACACATACATATATGCATATATATATATATATGTATATATGTATACATATGGGGAAACCCTGCAGAAGTGTGTAAGGAAGGTTTTATGGAACCTCACTCCCTTCGCGCCTTTCTCACCGTCTTCCTTGCACTTCCGCTCCGAGTTTGCCAAGCGCAGCTTGAAGCTTTGCCAGCAGTTGGTCTTAGCTGCTACGATTTGGGTTCTTCCGGCTTTTAGGGTTCTGGGTTTTGGGTTTTAGGTTCTAGGGTTGATTTGGTCTTGCGTGTTTCATAGCCTCTAAGGGTTCCTGTAAGGGATCCTTTCATGCTTGCCCGGGTTACTACAAGTTCCTGCACGTCCTGGGAGCTGCTTCTGGTTCAGGGGTTGTTGGTATAGGATAGTGATGCACCGTGCTTTCATAAAGACCCTTAGGAGGGTATGGGGGGGCAATAAGGACTCAATTATGCCTATCTAAGGAAGTATAGTCCGCCCCGATCCCCCTTACCCCTCTAAGGGTCCCTATGATGCTTGCTTTGCTCGGATGTCTCTCGCTCGCAAGCGAGGAAGCCCGCAGCCGCCAGGGTAGTGAGACTTGGAAGCTCAGATTCCAATCCACCAAGGGTGAGGTTTGGAGGTATTAGGGTTTAGTTTAGGGTCAAGCACGCTGTTATAGGACAATGCTTGAAGGAACTACTGCTCGTTCCTGGTCCTGGAAGTGTGGTTAGCACTGAGCAGAAGAACGGTCAAGAGCACAAGATCAGAAACGACATTTCTGCCCAAGCACCCATCCAAACACTTCCAAACCGTCTGAACCCTGTTCAACCGAATAGAAGTGTATGATGCCCGCGCAGATCCCCAAATAGTGATCAACCACCGGGACGACCACGACGAGCAGGACGACCAAATACCACCACGAAACCAGGAGGAGACCACCAGGAACCAGGAGACCAAACCCTAAACCCTAAACCCACCAGGAGACTACTGGAAAAGAGCCCGCAAGGAGTCGACCAGGACAGCACCAGTACCACCACCCCAGGAATACGATTTTCTACTCTTCAGATCCCTCAACAAAAGCCTTGGGCAGGCGAGATGCGAAGAAGAGGATGGTATTCTTCCCTAGCTGCTTGACGAAATTGGCCGTGTACTTGCCTCAGATGCCACGAAATTCCGGCTTCTGGGCTGCGAAAAACACTAAGCCTCAAACCCCAAAGCCTCGGCCCCGAACCCCAAAACCCTCTAAGTTGGACGTAACCTAAAGTCTGGGACGTGACTATGACCCAGAATTTGAGGATTTCTGATTTCGGATCTGACTGTCCTTGTTCATGCGGTCTTACGCAGAGAGACTGACACCTTTGTCGAGCAGCGGGGAGAGTGCCTCCTTTTGACTTGCGTGCGACGTGCCAATACAAACTGCACATAACTCCCTAAACCTTAAACCCTAAACCCTGCATTGCGTCTGGTTTTGTGCCCCAGGTTTTGAACAGCAAGTTTTGCTGTAGGAAGCAATTTAGGGGTATATTATACAATACCTATAATAAGGAGCCCCCCAAAACTAATAAGGAGCTCCCCAAAACCCTACTCTAATTATTAAGGACCCTCCATTTTCAGGGCCAGGTTGGAGTTAACGTTCAAGTCAAAATATCTGGACTCTTGTTAAGGGATTTAGTTCAAGTTACCATAATAAGGAAACCGTTCTATTTACTATAGATGCCCATTGTGGTAATTCGCGTGAATTTACAATAAACTCTTTAATCAAAACCCAGGATAGCTGGGATTCATAATGCCCCTCGCACCCGACCCTGTGCTTCGGGACTGAAGCAGAGTGGGGGCTCGGCGGACAGTTGAGATTTCAGACTGAAGGAAGGGCCGTGTGGACAGATGGGTTTTTGAAATTTCAAATGTTTCCTACCTAGGTTGGCCCCTCAAAGCCTCTGAAAAATATTCGTAAACAAGATCCTCTTAACCCCAATAAGGGAAAATATAAAATGTCCCAAGGGCCTACCTAGCTACTTTATACCTTTGGGTATGAGTTTCGCTGTATTTTGATCTACATGGCCCTAATCTCGGCATGGGACTTCTTTATCCTCGGATACATAATATAATATAGGGGCCTGTATGATAAGTGGGAATAGGGTTTTGGAGTCCATCATAGTATAATAGCAATAAGGACCCCCCCCAAAGAAAAAACAAGTATAGGCATTTATTAAGGCCCGTATATTACAAGCAGAGCGACACTCGTCTGCACATTCGAAAGCACCACCGTGGGTTAGGGTTTAGGGTTTAGGGTTTAGGGGTTAGAGACCACAAAACTTGTACCCTAAACCCTAAACCCCTAAACCCTAAACCCTAAACCCTCTACATGAGGTGGTATCATCAACCCAACACCCCAATTCGCTGCATCTTGCGCCTCAACTCAAGACCTTACTAAACCTTCACCCTAAAACCTGTCCTATCCGACAGCCTGTTGAACCCTAAACCCTGCATGAATCCTATCTTAAACCCTCCGAAACCGTCATAAACTTTCGCCGTTCTGCTCGCAAACTTCACGCCACTGACAAACTTGCTCTTGATGCCCTTCGAGGGCTCTTTCGGCTCGACCGTCATCCAGTCAATCCTGAACTGAGCAAGGCTTTGAAAAGTAACCCACATTATGGGTTTTGGTAGCAACCCGCGATTTGATAAACAAAACTCTTTGAACAACCACCTGTCAACAACACCTGACTGGGCTTCGCTGAACGGCTCTCTGCAGACTAAGTGCGCGCGCTGCAGCTGACACGTTGCCATGTCTTAGGTTCGTTTCACCGCTGTTTTCTCGTGTTTTTGGTTTGTTTAGTTGTAGTTTTCTGGGACCGAGTGCTACTGTCGTAGCCAACGAGGCCCGCGGATGCCAACAAAAAGCAAGCAACGTGGCACAGCATACATGTCGCCTCCACCAAAGGCGGAACAGAGTTTACGGCCCACCGCCTGTAGAAATCATTCTCCACCTCACGATCGGCTGTCGGCCGATGGAGCCCACGTGGATACCACCCAGCCCGTGAACGGAAGGGCTCCCGGAGCATGTGGGTGTGATAAAGCACCGCTTGTAGCTCTAGCGCGGCAAGGATGCCCCAGAGAAGCAACAATAGGAGGCCCAGTGGGTCGCGTAGCCCCAGCGGTGTTCTGGGAAAAATCCACGAGGTCCGCCTGATGTTGGGCTCGATGGCCAGGTTGGCCAGTCCGTTGGTTGTGTTGAAAGAGATGAACTGGAAAGTTGAGCTCACAGTTGCCGCCCGCCAGCACCTTGAGTTCCGCCACGCCGTTCTGATTGTTTGAGTCCTGGCATCTCCCGTCGCAGCGGCGTTGCGCGACTCCCATCGGGTTTGGGATTTTAGGGTGTGCTTTCCGCTTAAGGGTTAGGGTTTAGGGTTGGGGGGTTTGGGGAGCACAGACGAGGGTGTCTACGATTTGGAACAGGGTTTCTGCGCAGGCTACATAGATTTCAGAACTTAGAGGCATGTTGTTGCCAACTCTTCCGGCCGCCAAAACAGCATTGGGCTCCAAACCTTGGCCAAAGAAGGCTTTCGGGGGTTCCCTGCCTAACCCTAAACCCCTGCAACACCCTGAAACCAAGGAGCGCTCAAACAAAAGTGATGAGGCCAGGCTCGAGTTGTTTTCGTGTTCCATGGCTTCTTTGCTTCAGGCCTTATTTAAGTCGACTTACATCATACTAGGCCAAAGAAAATCAAGGTTCGGGGTGCGGGGGTTTTAGGGTTTGTATAGCATCTCAGAGCTTGTGGCATCAGGGATTACGGGAGATTTAGCAGGATTACAATACTTTAAACCGCAAGGCGAGTGTTGGGTTTTCTGGGTGGAAGTTCCACGCCAAGCATCTCGCCGTTTTCGGTCACGAACTCGACCTTCTGAAAGTTTTGAGGCTTTACTTGGAGGTTCATGGGTAGTTATGAGTGTTATAACTCCCCTAATAGGAGTTATAATTATAGCTACCCTACTTATAACCCCACTTAAAACTACCCATGAACCTCCGAGTAGGGTGAGTTCGCCGAAGCCAGAGTCCCTGAAGCCGTGGCCGTTGCTTTTCGGCTACTTAGAGCTTCGGCGCTTTGGCCCTTTGCTTTAAAACCCAAACATCTTACAACGCTCTGAGATTAGGGCCTCGGGCAGGTCCCAAACCCTAAGCCCTAGGGACCGACCTCCCGAAAAGTGTGGACAACTGGGTGGTTGTCAAAATTATGGTCCCTTTTTGGGTCCCTAATATAGTACGGCACCTAATATTTAGGGTTCCCCAAAAGGGACCATACATAATTTTGACAACCACCCAACTCTACCCTAAACCCTTGAAGCCACCGGACCACTGCTGTGTCCTGGTAAGAAACCCAAGGAGTCATAACCGTATAGCACAACATATGTTGCCAGTGCAACATATCATGATATAGCATATAAATGCAGTACATTATGTAAAGTAAATAAGACGCAAATTCAAGAAGACATAACTACACCCAGTATAACGAATAAACACAATGTGTGTGTACATATATAGTATATATCTGTGAGGCTCCGGCCAAGGTGTTCAACCGCTTGTTCATGATCGTGGCCCTGCGCGAGATGCACGCTTTGACAACGGCTTGCGGGTTGCTCGAAGCACAAGGAAGACTCACCATGCAGGGTTCTAGGTAGCAGCTATGCCTGAAAGCGGCATCCATACACGCGGTTAGTCAAATAGTCTCCGGATCATTCCAGCAGAGATGTCATTTGGGGTTAAGAGTTCAGCCTCGAAGAAACTCTGGTCCCTAAGCCGAGAGCTGCGTTTTGTTCGCCCGTTTCCTGAACGTAAGGTAGCAGAAACAGTCTCAGTAGCAACTAGCAGTAACTAACATCGATGACAATGAACGCATGAAAACATGCTCCGGCAGCTGCTACACAAAGAGTGGACTTGCAGCGCATAACGCGAGAAATGGGCAGCGGGCGCCAGATCGATGGGCCTCTACATGCGGTGAGGCGGACAAACCTAAAGAAGTCGTTCAAGCTTTGCTACGACTCCTATGATTCCACATCGAAGCGAAGCAAATTAAGCGACCACAACTGCGGCACAGAAACTCATCAACATCAGCACAAGTTTCTAAGGCATCGGGGTTGAATAACCCCACGGGCGAAGTGTTTGAGGCTGGACGGGCTGAATACAAGCCCAATGAACAAGCCTTGAAGTACAAATACCCTCTGGGGATGGAGTTTTCTTGAACGCTCATGCAAAAGCCAGAGGCACCCGCTTAGAATAGTTGTTTGAAGTGTTTCGCTTGCCAGGCTCCAAAGCTTTGTGGGATACGGTTCAGGGCTTAGGGTGTCAGGCCTCGGCCAAAAAACACACACGATCGGCTAAGTGGCAGAAAATGGTAGAAACATCCCAGCATGCTAGCCTTTTCTTGTATCAGCAAAAAATCGGATTTGAAGGCACCTTTCGAAATTTGTTTGCTTGCCAAACATTGAAAACCATGAACCCTACAAGTCTCATTTCGATACCCTCATTTCCGCGAACACATAAAGTTCCTGAGCTGTACTGCCTTAGGCCGTAGTCACCCAAGAAGAGCGAATGTACCCGGTTTGAATTGGAAACCAGGAGATACCTGAACCCTCTGACTGTGTATACAAACCGAGGAGTGGGTTCATATGACAGAACTGAGACACCAAGAAGCACAAACAGAACGAGGTACCTGTGCATAGTATGTTTAAGTACCGTGTACCCATATGCGGTATGTAACCATGCGCTCAGTAGTTACATACTGTACTCGGATGAACATCGATAGGAGTGTTTACTTCAGAGGGGGGGGCCGACCTGGTTGCTCTAGAGTCTAACAGAGTCCTGAGAGTCATGTTAAGGATTAGGAAACGGTATGCCCTAAACTCTAAACCTAGGATTACGGGGCAACGCCCGAGGGTGGGGTCACCACCAAATATCATTATGCTTTGGGTATTCCCCCCAGTCTATATGAGGAGTCACAAGAAGGGCTATATATAAATATGCTAAAAAAACTGCCCGACTACTACAGAGTGAGGAAGTGCCAAAATTAGGCTTACTTTACTTGCGGCCTTTTTGTCAGCCTCCTGGTAATCTAGAAATGGTTCACCCAAAGCCAAAGCTCTACGCCACTTCAAGAGGTCGAAAGACATGTCGCTTCAAAGGCTGCCTGGCCTACCCAAATGCTGAGATTCTGATGTGAAAAAGAGAAACACGGCAAGAAGGCCGTGTAGCCGTTCCGCACGAGCCCCGGAAAACACCTAGAGTATGTTCTGTTATTCAGGCTCAATGGGGGCAAAAACCAACATGAGAAGGGACATATAAGGCCTTCAGAATTCGAGTACTGTAAGGTTTTTGGTAATTAAACAATGGTAGACTATTCTCTACGGTCATGTAGGGAGTGAACGGGGACGCTATTCATAGCACGCGAGCCCTGCCATGATACTTGGTAAAAGGATGCCACAGTGACCCAGGTCGGGTGCCTGACGTGAAGCTCCTTCAGCTGCTGCACGTCGGTAGCATCCCAATTGCTAATCCTCAGTCTGGCACCCAGAGCCGATCCCTTTAAACCACCAAAACTGTATGGGAACCCTGTTTAGGGTTTAGGGGTTTAGGGGTTTAGGGGTTTAGGGTTTAGGGTTTAGGGCCCAAACATCCCAAAGCCCCAAACTAAACCCTGAACACTAAATCCCAGTGTTAAGGGTTTAGAGACCCCGCTCTCGGGGTTTATGGAAGCCCTTAACCCTAGATCTCAAACCATCCAGACTGCATCCTGTCCTGGCCGAAGAAGAAGAAATGGGAGTTTCCGAAAATTAGGGGTACCTTACTTAGGGGTCCTTATAATAAGGATCCTACTATTTAGGGTACTATATCAAGGTCCCCTATTTTTGGAAACCCCCAAATCCTATGATGCCCTCATGGTCTGAGTTTGTGTATCGGGCCTCAAGGTTTCTGAACTCAAGCGGGTTTAGGGTTTAGCGTTCAGTTTTTTTTTAGCGCCTCTTTTCCAACCTGCCTGTTCGCAGTCGAAAATCCCTAGGGGGAAGGCGTTTAGGGGTTTAGGGTTTAGTTTTTTTGGGGCCGAAGGTTCTTTTTATAGCCACCCCGGGAGGATCCAAAAAGTAGACTCCTTACTGGGGATTTCCAGAAAGTCCCCCTGAGTAGTATAGGGCCCAAATTAGGGGATCTACTTTCCAGATGCTCCCGGGGGTTTGGGTAGCTCCTTCGAGGCTTCGAATCCTTTTTGAAGCTCCTTCGCTGTTAAAAACCCCAGTGTTCCCTATAGCTGTAAGCAGATGTAAAGCCCTAACTCAAAGGGGAAAAGGAGGGACCCTTAAAGGGGACCCCTACCCTATAATGGGCTATATAATGGGTATATCATAGCTCTTTTAAGGCATAGGATGGCTTAGGGCTGTGGGGATCCGGGCTTTCGGTCTGAAGATGCATCCCCAGAGACTCCAATATCCCTTATATTAAGGAATATTCCTTTTAAATTATAGTAGGATCCCTTTTCTGATTTAAGGAATATTCCTTTTAAATTATAGTAGGATCCCTTTTATGATTAAAGGAATATCCCTTAAATTATAGTAGGATCCCTTTTATGATTAAAGGAATATCCCTTAAATTATAGTAGGATCCCTTTTATGATTTAAGGAATATCCCTTAAATTATAGTAGGATCCCTTTTATGATTTAAGGAATATCCCTAAAATTATAGTGGGATCCCTTTTATGATTTAAGGAATATCCCTTAAATTATAGTAGGATCCCTTTTATGATTTAAGGAATATTCCTTAATTAAGGGATATTGGAGTCTCTGGGTCCTTCACCCACCGAAACCTGAAACCGTGCATCCAAGACTTGATATCCTAAAATCATACAGCCAGGCCTGAAAAGCCGCCAACACTTCAAAACCTGGGCACTGAACCTCAAGACCTCAACCTAATATATACCGGCCTGAATAATTAGAGCTTTTGGGGCCAATTATATTTTACTATACTTGTAGGAACCCCCTAAATAGTATTGGCAATTATTAAGGCCCCTATATTACCTCACCACTCAACGGCAAGGTCATACATTTTCGTGGATGGCTCCCTGTCCAATCTTCGGCTTTCAACTTGCGGAGTTCCTGTGCCGCAGGCTGGCCTTGCCTCATCTGTATATGGGAGTTTACGAAAATAGGGGAGCCGAATATAGTACCCCAAATAGTATGATCCTTCTTATAAGGACCTCAAAATAAGGTACCCGTAATTTTCCGTCACTCCCATAGCACCTTAGGGTTCAGGGTACCATCCGCGCGGGTCTGTGTTCCTCTACTGCAGAGATGCGAGATGGCCGCGGAATCTCCATGCTCGGCCCTGTCGAGGATCGACTGTCTGAACTCCACTTGGGCGGCAGCACGGCTTGACAAGCTGCCATGTCAAGAGGCTTTTATTGAGCTTTACTTTACAGGGCTTGACGATTCTAGCTACCCTAAACCCTAAACCCTAAACGGAGCCAGGAATTTGAAGAGGGTGAGCACGATGATAAGGCCCGAAGCCAGAAACCCAGATGAGCCTCAACCCTTTCATACCCCTACTTAGGGGCTGAGTACCCTAGACCAAAACAGGTGAGCCTTTTCAATTATGCTAGGATTATATAAGGCCTAAAAGGTTAAAGGTACCTACTCAGCAACTAAGCCTGCAGCACTCCAACTACTAGACATCCGAAGCCTCATAGAACTAAAACGGCCTCAAAGCGAAGCTCAATGGCCCATGCCGTACGGCTAGGAGACATGGGAGTTTAAAAGTGGCACCTTATGTAAGGGTGACGTGGGAGTGTCCGAGATTCGGATTCCTTATTTAGCGGTCCTTATAATAAGGATCCTACTATTTAGGCTACTATGTTAGGGTCTTCGGAAACTCCCACATTAAGAATCCACAGCCAAAACCTATACTGAACTCAGAACCCTAGCAAACATTATAATTTTAGCTGTTTCTTAGGGATTATAATAGCCAAAAATTAAAAAATGTTTCGAAGTACCCCTAAGAAACCACAGAGCTTTCAAATGAGCTTTCCATCCCCAAGCCAGAACACGAAGTCCAATGCCACGCTGCACTCGCCCCCCCCGTCCTCCCGTGCCCTGAAGCTCTTAGCACTTACCAAAACCCAAACTCGAAAACCCTAGAGCCCAAACACCCTGAAAGGAAACCCTAAAACCCGTTACTTAGTAGCTGAGTTCATAAGCCCCCAAGAAGTGTACACTTTTGGTTCTATGGTGGGTAATCTCATCCCAAAAAGGTGTAAAGTGTTTCCACTCAGCTACTGAGGTTAGCCCGAAACCGTCAACCTGTTAAGGAAACCTCAAATCAGGGCAGTGGCCATTTCAAGTTCCGGATGGCTTCCTGGTACGTAGGGTTTAGGGTTGCTACATAGGTGCAATCGAGGCCACTAGTGTTTGGACAAGGATTCCAAGCTCTCGCATCTACGGCATTGCCTTTTTTTTTGCGTTTGGGGTTTATTGTTTGGAGCTTTGGGTTTTCGAACCTGGGATTGAAATTCTGGGTTTAGGGTTTTGGCTTCTTGGGTTTATGTCTTTGGGTTAAAGCAAAGGTATACCCGTATAGAGGTGTTGTTTCCTTAAATTTAAGGTATGCTGCTTCACATCAGAGAATGGGGCCACTTTTCGGCTATAGTGTGCAGGCATGTGCAAGGCTTTAGACTCAGAGGCCTGGTGAAAGCACCGGCCAGCAATTAATTACCGAAGTTTGAGTCAGAGAAGTAGTAGTGCCTGTGCAGCAGTTAGCAGTGGCTGCAGAAGAATGCAACTAACTATGTACCTATTTACCCTCCCATGCTAAACCCTCAGCCTTTGCGCGCCCAAAAAGCAAAAACGCAAACCGAGGTCGTCTACACGAAATCTTGCAACTCCCTATGAAGTGGGTTGCTAGTTCTAGTGTCCCGAAAAGGAACCCCAAACACACACAGACACACCCCATTACTGAGGAGCGGCTATTCAAAGATGCAATCCTACATGGGAACCCCTACCCCCCATCCCAAACATGTCGGCCGCTGAAGGTATAAGCCCCTCTCAACCTAAGGGCTAAACTTTTGCATAAACCCTAAACCCCTGACCCAGCCTGCTTCTCAGACCTAAAGCCCCAGTCCTAATAATCCCCCAAGTCCGAGCCGAATCAATCAGTTGGCGGCCGAAGCCCTAAATCCTGAGTCCGAGCATTTGAGTCTACAAGGTCTTCACTTCAGGGTGCAGGTTTAGGGCTGAGGGGTACGGGGTTTGCGCATTTTTGGTTTAGGGTTTAGGGCCGGGTTTACCAAACCCTGAAATTACCGTTGCTGGAAACTCGAATGACGTGCCAGCGACCGTTCTTTGGTATGCGCGCTTGTCTTCCGCGGAGGCCCCGATGCCATTGCGTGGACTCGGCGGCAACCTGAAGGTTCGGGCTCTTGCTTGCTTGCTTGCTTGCTTGCTTAGGGTTTAGGGTTTATGTTGAGGTTTATGGTTTAAAGGTTTAGGGTTTAGGGTTTGTTTGTTGCTTGTTTCTCTCTCTTTTTTACTACAAGGCTTTATTATCCGGGCTTTGAGTGGCTGTTATTATGCTTTTTGAAGGCTTTGTAGGGTCTTTACCTCATCCTACAGGGTTTCTCGGCTTTGTCACGGGCTTCGCAGGATCTTTTTGGGAGCTGCCTGTTTTAAGGCTTTTAAGGACCCATCGCACTCCAGGTCTAGGACCTTGCGAACCGGGGCTCGATGGATGCTTCCTGCTCATCGACCACAGGGCTTTGATAACACTAAAATAGAGCATAGAAGTCAATCATGGTATAGTTGTATCAAGGACTAGCAGGGGATACTGTCGCTAAAGATTCCGACTCTGTACCAGAGAGCAGTTCCGCTTCACCCCGTCTAGGTTCCACGTAGAAGTGATTCCACAAGCATGGTCGCTGGTAGGTTTCCCTGCCAGCATGTTCGTTGTTGTTCAGTCCAAACAAAAAGGGTCGATATGGTAGAACATCTATTTGTACAGCCTCCTGGCAAGACGACACCGAATATCAGAAGCCTTAGGCCTCAGGCGACGTCATCGTTTACCTGCCCGGGGTTTCAGGAACAGGTGAGGGTGTTTGTGTCTCAAACATCCTAATAAACCCAAGAATCAAGGTTCTCCGATAAGAGCCCAGACGGACAGACTGAAGGACCACGAGGAGACATGTGGCTCCACTTTTGAACCGTTTTGCAACTTGAACCATGACCCCCAAACCCTAAACTCTAAAACCATTAAACCCTAAACCATACCCATTAACGAAGTCACCCTAAACCCTTAAACCCTAAACCCCTAACCCCTATACCACCCTAAACCCTTAAACCCCTAAACCCTTACACCCCTAAACCCCTAAACCCGAAGCCCCTAAACCCTCAAACCCCTAAACCCTCCCAAGCGATCTGGGGAGCCGGCTTGCTTTTGTCCGCATTCGACCTCGGTGTCGCCGTGGTGGCCTGGTAAAGTTCGTAAAGTTAGGGCCGGGGTGGATTTGGGTTTAGGGTTCAATACAGGGGCTCTGATAATTAGAACAGGGTTTTGGCAATTTGGGGCCCGCTATACCATAATTAACATAAGGAGCCCGCAAGATATAGTATAGGTAATGAATTATTAAGGCCCCTATAATGGGGTGTTCTTTGGTTCTTAGTAGAGAATCGGGGAATGGGTTATGAGGACTACTACAAGGGACCTTAAGGGACCATCAGAAAGATAAGGACCTTAAAGGACTATCATAGGGATAGGGACCTTGAGGGACTATCATAGGGATCTATTCCCCCATTCCCTACTAAGAACCAGGGCTCTGACGCGGCGAGTTTCAAGGTGCCCCATGACCTAAATCTTCAAGCCGAAGATGCGCGATCAATATCCCTACTAAACTTTACATGGTAATCAAGGCAAAACAGCGACCAAAGGGGCAGAACACCACTTGACAATGACGGATCGCACAGTTCATGGTGACAGCGGCAAGGTAGCCAGGTTTGGGAACCCCAGCCGGCCTATGAACTTGCTGATGCAGCTGGGCCAAGAAGTGTAAGAGGCGGTAGATCTAGATGCTGCGTACCCTAAACCCTAAACCCTGAACCTTTAACCCTCAACCCTAAACCCGAAGGCCCTAACAACAGCACCCGAAACTGGGGCACCGAAGACCCGTAAAGCGCAAACCCTAACTCCTAAAGTCGGAAAGGAAGCACTAGAACAGCCCATGAACCCAGCACAAGTGCAACAGGGTCTGTTGGCTTAAGGTTTAGGCCTTAATCGGCTTTAGATGTAGGGATATCGGTTTACTACTTAAACAGCCATCGTAAGAATAGCCACGTATTATAACAACTTCAAGTAGCAAACCCTTTCAGAGAAATCACCCGAATAGGTCAACCCCGAAGACCCCTATAGAACCCTGACAGAGGCCCTTTGAAGCGACCCTCAAACCTTTCTAGGACCTTTACAGACAAACTTGAAAAGCAGCCTACATAAACCCCTAAGGTGAACCCTCAGACCCTTATGGAATCCTGGAAGCAACCCTTCAAGACAACGCTAAAGTCACTAAAAGGGATCCCCTCCTAACGCAACCCCAAAACCGAACACCCTAGGTCCTTAAGTCCCAAACCCTTTAAGATCCCTAAAAGGCTCCTGTAAGGGATCCCTTAAGGGATCCTTTCAGGGATCCTTTAAGGGCTCCTTTAATGGATCCCTTTTTGGGCTCCTTTAAGGGAGCCTTGAAGGGTTCCTTTAAGGGCTGCTGTAAGGGGTTTAGGGTTTAGGGGCTCCTTTAAGGGTTCCATACAGGGATCCCTAAACCCTAAACCCTAAAGCTGCTGTCAGGGTTCCTTTAAAGGGTTCCATAATAAGGTTTACAAAAAATATGTATTTTCATAAAAATAAGGTAACTTCAATTGGATTTTCTTAGGATACCAGGCCTGCATCAGCCTCTGGACCTCCTCCTGGTTCACTTCAATCTTCGCGGCCTCCATGGGTCTTTACAGGGGTCTCGGTTTAGGGTTTAGTGTTTGGGGCTTAGGGTCTCGGCTTAGGGTCTCGGTTTAGGGTTTAGGCTGCTTAGGGGGTTTAGGGTCTCGGCTTAGGGCTTAGGGGCTTAGGGTCTCGGTTTAGGGGGCGTATTGGGGTCATATAATTTGGGGGTTTCCGAAAATAGGGGACCCTAATTAATATAGCACCCTAAATCGTAGGATCCTTATTATAAGGACCCCCGAATAAGGAACCCTTAACTTTTCGGAAACTCTCATTTGGCTTCGGCTTCTGTGCAGTAACGATTTCGCACAGCATCCCTATGATGGGAGGCCAAAAGGGGGGTTTAAGATGCTTGAGGTAGGGATTCCTTAATATGAACCCTATTTTTGGAACCCTAACCCCTACTAAACCCCCATAAGCTAAAACCCCTTTTGGCCTCCTATGAAGATCCCCTCTAAGCCCTAAACCCTAAACACTGTATAGAACCCTTATAGATCCCTTTAAGGTACCCTTATAGATCCCTCTTAAAGGTACCCCTATTACTTGGAGGGTCAGGGGACTTAGTAACTGGTCATTTTTGGGACTTATACGTACCATAACCCCAATTAGGGTCCCTTTTAGGGTACTTATAAGTCTACTTACTATCTACTTACTAAGTCCCCCGACCCTCCAAGTAGGGACCCTGAGCCCAGAGCCTGGGACTCCCAGTTCCTCCAAGTAATAGGGGTACCTTTAAAAGGGATCTATAAGGGTACCTTAAAGGGATCTATAAGGGTTCTATACAGTGTTTAGGGTTTAGGGCTTAGAGGGGGTCGACAAAAAAGCACAGGCAAACTCTAATGGCTCACCCTTCAGCCCTGAGGGCTATATACTTGGAGGTTCATAGGTAGTGATAAGGGCCCCTTTAAAGGGATCTATAGGGATTCCATAAAGGTATAGGGGTTTAGGGCTTAGGGCAGCTATAAGTAGGGTTCTAAGTCCCATAATAGGGCTTAACTACAGTTGCCCTACTTATAACCCCACTTATGACTGCCCATGAACCTGCAAGGACTTCCGGATATCCCTAAATATTCCTGCAGACCCTTACAGGCTAAGATCACCAAAAGCCACTGAGGTTGAGTACTAGCTCTATCAACGGCTACGGCTTCTACAAAGTTCAAAGGGCAAAAGGAGGGGACCCTTAATAAGGACCCCTAGGTATATACCCATCATATAGCCATTATATGCCCATTATATAGCCCATTATAGGCTAGGGGTCCCCATTAAGGGTCCCTCCTTTTCCCTTTTGAAAAGTGTCGGCCTTCTTCTTCACCATCTCTTGGATGACGCAGTAGTTCTTCAGCGCTTTGTGGGCCATGGCCTGGCTATATCGGTTCGTTTAGACTTAAGTGTGTGTAGCTTAGGACTGTGACTTCACCCGGCTTAGGGTTCACCCGTGTCTGCACTTGGAGGTTCATGGGTAGTTATAAGCGGGGTTGTAGGCCCCCGAATTAGAGTTACAATTATAGGTACCCCACTTATAGCTCCACTTACAACTACCCATGAACCTCCAAGTAGAGTAAACGAGACATCTCGACCAGAAGGAACTTCGATAGTCGTTTCTGGTCCTGGGAGGTGCTCTACGTACACCCACTCACAAATGGACATACATTAAGCATACACATATATGCGCATGTATAGTAATGTTTGTATACATACATGCACATACATACAATGTATGCACATACACACATGTACAACATGTGTGCATTCCATCCATCCATCCATCCATCCATCCATCCATCCCTTCGTCCGCATGCATCCAGAGATACATACAGACAGGCATGCATACATACATATGCATTCCCTATGTACACTGTGTAATCCGCATATATGCTCGGCCGTAACCCCTTCGCCGGGAAATTGCTTGTGGTGAAGACACAGTCTCCGCTTAGTTTACAGCCCCACCCGGAAAACTGTCAAAGTCAACCACCCTAAGAACTCTGGCCCTAAAGCTGCAAGAGCCATACCTTCATGACGACAAGCAACCCAAAGACCTAGCGCAATAGATCTGCGCAAACCCGCTGGAAATGCTCTTCCCGAAACTTAGGATCTGTCCAAATCTCTCAGCCTTCTGCAGTCAGCAGTGAACCTGCAGGAACATGCAAGCCCGAATCTCTCCACTGAAGCTGCGCATCCTGACACTCCTGTAAGCACTAATCTCTAAGTCCAAAGACATGTCCCATGCCCACGCCCGAGTATGCAAATCCAAAACCCATCTGCTCTCTTGCGCCAGCCTGCCCATGACTTCCCTGCATGCTCCTGGGTGTTCTTGGAGGTTCATGGGTCGTTATAAGTCGGGTTATAAGTAGGGTAACTAAAGTTATACGCCCTACTAGGGGACTTGTAACCCTACTTATAACTACCCTTGAACCTTCAAGTAAGGTCTATATGGGGTGCAATGCCCAAGCTGAGGCATCGGGGAGAAATCCTATTCTCGGGGATTCAGAAATGGGTGATCCTTAAAGGCATCATAAGGAGTAGGCCTGTTTAGGGTGTAGGGTTTAGTGTTCAGGGTTGTAAAGCAGCCGAAGAGCATCCTTACTGCAGTAACCTCTGAATGTAGGGTCTTGGGTAGCTGAGTATCGGTGTCGAGCATCCCTGGTATCTTATCAACCGCCTGAATACCTTTTAATGCAGAAAGCATCATCAAGTCCCGAACGGTGAACCTTCAACTCGCAAAAACTGCGAACCTTGAGCCCACCCTATGCTTCTAAACCCGACAAGCTCACGCTCTAAACCCCAAGCCTCAAACTATGCCGGAGTCTCAAGCCCACAAGAGCCCCCCACACCCTGTCAGTCCCCTAAACCCCTCAACCCCTAAATCTCAGATAGCCGTTCGACTAAATCCCGTATTCGATACTAGAACCCCGAACAGAACCCTGAAAGGAAGCCCCAAACCCTAAATCCTACAACCCTAAAATTAGCCCGAAACCCGTAAGGTCTAACCCTAAACTCTAAGCTCTACAACCCCTAAACCCTGAAACCCATAAGCCGTAGACACATACGTTTCTGATCTCTGAGCTCTACAACCCCTAAGCCCTGAAACCCTTAAGCCCTAAATTCCGAAGTTTTTGCTGAGGCGAGCTACTTGGAGCCGAAATCCGACTGCATCTCCTCGGCGTATTCAAGGTTCAACTTTTAATTCCTTGAGGGGTTTAAAAGCTTTTTGTCGTGGTTTGGGGGTTTGGGCTTTGGGGGTATCGTGGTTTGGGCTTGTTTTGGGTTTAGGGTCTGGCGGTTTAGGGGTTAATGGTTTAGGGTTTTATTGGTTCAGGGCTTCTTTGTTCCTCCTTCCTGTGTTTTTTCGGTCTGGGGTGCCAGCACTCAACACCAGGCACAGCCAAGTGAGGTTCTTCTTCAGCACTCACAAGTAAGAGCTTGGAGTGAACGGGAAAAAGGATTAAGGTTTACAGGTTTAGGTCAAAGCGGAGTGGGAGTCAGAGTGTGCAGCTCCAAGGTTGGGGCCCGGGTTTGGGGTTAAGGACTCTGGCTAGGTCTCCTCGCGCAGGCATGCTTCTGACATGATGTAATTATAATGGCTACCGCCTTCACTGTTGTTATTCTTGCCGTTGTTGGTGTTGTTGTTGTTGCTGCACATAAATGCGTTTTCCATGTTGGTGTTTACACCTTTTAGTACCAGTGGGTGGCGAGGGCAGTGGGTAAGTAGGCAATAGCAGTAGCAGGTAGCAAGTAACTGCGTTATAACAGCAGCAGCGCCGTCATATATGGTCGCAGACGAGCGAAAGCGAGAGATCCACCCAACACAAAATATGCGGTTCTGCAGAGCTATTTCCGCTTGGGCTGCAGACAGCTTGTGGCATCTCACTTGACATACTGAAGCTTCATCGTTACAACCAGAACCATGAATGATAGGAGTCAAGGTTCGAAAACACCACCACCACCACCACCAACACCAACACCAACACCAACACCACCACCACCACGACGACCACCACCACCACCACCACCACCACCACCAACAACACCACCAACAACAACGATAACAATAACAACAACGACAACAACGACACCACCACCAACAACAACAACAACAACAAAAACAACAACAACAACAACAACAACAACAACAACAACAACAACAACAACAACAACAACAACAACAACAACAACAACAACAACAACAACAACAACAACAACAACAACAACAACAACAACAACATTTCATTCACACGCAGCGGGAGGATACTGTCTGTGGTGAAACTTGACGTCCACGCTTTGCGAGGGGTCGACCTACTGCTCTGCTTGCTAATTGCGCGGTCACTTCATGACGAGCCGTGCCTTAACACAGCACTCGCACACGCTCCGCCCCTCAAGGCTGCAAGCAATGAAGTCGGGATCAGACGTGTCTTCAGTGAGTCTGGATGCTGACTCTGGCACTTATGCTGTAGTTCACCGGCTGATTTGCAGTGCATCGCTGACTGATTGGCGGCATTCTTTTTGCACTCTGCTGTCTCGCGGGGTGTCTAGCCTCGCTGTGAGGGCTCAGTACGAACCACTAGCTCTATGTTATAGTAGAGGCGGTGAGGCAATGAAACACTCAGTAAAGGCAGGCCAGGCGCCGCTTCCAGTCCGTTGTTGCCATTTGTAGATGGCGGAGCAACTCCTGCCGGACCTGTGCTGGTGACATGAAGCTCTCCTGTCCCTGGATGGGAGATCGTTGAGGTAACGGCCTTTGGCGGTGGTCCCAGGGGAGAAACTCCTCCCGGGATTCCTCCTTTCGCTGGCACTCCAGGTGCCTTACCTGGGCCCGTTGTCCGATCTGTGCTGGATCCACTTCCTGGTAAGTTAACAGGCTTCGGAGGCGGAGGACCCTTAGGCCCAGCTGCTGCAGGGGCCCCTGTAGGGACCGCAGTGTCTTCGGAGTCGGACTCCCGGATTGAGTCACTTGGTGGTGGCGACCTGGAGATGTGAGGCCGACGTCTCACTGGAGGAGGGGTGCGGGAGGTCGCTCTGTTGCCATTCTTCTTCGGTGTTTCAGGCATGGCTTCTACAGTCTAGACAGCTGGCGAGTTGAGCCTGTGCGAGAATGACAGTAAGCTTCCAGAAGACTTTTGGCTGACTACGCACTTGCAGAACCAGGCCCGTGACTGCGCGCGGAGCTTCGAGTGCGACCTCAGGGTACATTTGCTATCTGGTGATGAAGGTGAAGCAACCTTCAGTCTCATAACAGATTTTTGTACACGCAGCTGCATTATCTGTTTGGGGAGGAGCTCCACCAATAGAGGGGAGTCCTCACGATCAGAGCGGCCTGTTATCGCCTCCGTACTTAGTGCCCGATTTCAGGCTCTGGTAGTACTCTATGACAGAGGGGGGCACTACGGAAGGGGTGAGAATGACGCCGTTCTTGCTACGGAAAAATTGCACCCCTACCTGCATGGCCCTGCGTGGATCGACAGCTATCAGCATCGACGAGCTATCTCTGAAACCAGAAACACCAGGTTTCCCATAGTCCCGATCCGAGACGAAGTGAACATGCTGTCGTCCCTCTCTGCCACGTCCGCCTTTGCCGCGGCCCTTGGAGATCTTGTTCTGAGGCAAAAGGCCACGTTGACGTATGGAGTCATACAAGGACCAGAATGTGCCATGGTAGAGCATTTTGGGGAGCATCTCCTCCGTGAGTTCCTCCAACACCTCGTGGGAGTCCACATCGGAGCGAGAATGTCCTTGCAGGGCTCTGATGTACTTCTGGCCTTGGCAATCACCAAGCTCGTACCTGCCTTTTGCATTACTCCGGACGACTTCCATGAGGTCGCCTGCCGTGGCGTGCTGTGCCTGCACTCTTGGCCAGCTCAAGACGTCCTCTAATTTGGCCCAACCAGCCGAAGTCACGCTGATGTAGGGTTGGTGTCCGTGCCGGAGCAGAGCGGCTAGGGCCTTCGAGACTTCGAACGAGAAGTTGCTCTCAGGCTTCGTAGAGGCAGTGCAATAGCCCCCTAGATCGCCGGGTTGTCCCTCCCAGGCCACGATAGTGGAGCTACGTGGCGTTGTGGAGCTATGGTCGTCCGACGCCCTTGTCGGGGGAGGAACTCCACCCTGTGAGCTGGACGCCGGCTCACTGTCTGGAAGGGGAGCAGCTCCACCTTCCTTAGCTCCGCTTGACGAAGCTTCGCCAGGCAGTTCGTATCCCAACGCCGAGAAGGATGCCCGTGCTTGTCTCAGTGGTATCTCCAACAAGCCACTCCACTCGCGGAGGTACTCACCTAAGGTGAGTGTATCCTTTGTCGATATTTGCAGTAGCAGCGCTCGGATTTTGACTGCATCGTAGGAGTATATAAGTTGGTTTGTTTTCTTACC